CGGGTGGATAAACGGCTAGACTAACATATCGTCCTGTGCTAAAGTTTCCCAAAATTGTCTAAAGATGGAACCAGTAGTTATCGTCATGACGGGCGCGTGTGTGCCCACGACGGAGAAACACTATATCGGTAATACCAATACGTCGGAGCAACTCTTACCTGTCTGGGCCGGAGGGGTTAATCCACTTCGAGTTAGTTGCAACCAGACTGCCCAACCACTCAGTCTGTTCTCATACCTCCCAATCTATTCGGACCCGTTCCATACTTGACACGGGCGAGGTGAGAGAGTGTGTTGTTTTGTCAGGGAGTAAGTACGTAGTACGTTTTGGCACATAGCTGCATTTTGCCCATGACAACCCGAGCCAACCCAAAGCTGAACCCGGTACCAGACTTACTTTGCAGAGTAAGTATCCTTGCCATCACTACCTCACTGGGTGAGCACCGCCTTGCCGGCAACTGAACGTTTGACTTTTTGCGTTTTGCCTGGCGCCTTACTAAGTGACTGACCACCTCGCGGGTTGCTCCAGTCTCCAATCTAAGCAAGCCTCGCCCGTACAGCAGTGGTGACCAACCTCCAGTACCAACCACGGACTAACTAGAACTGTTTTAGCCACCGTGACCCTCTTACGGCTGCCGTACGCAGCGATCCATAATTCCATGCTCCCCGCCTCTCTTTCCTCTCCTCTGGCTCTCTCTTTCTGTGTCTTTCCCCTCCCTTTTCCTGCTTGTGTCCCCAGTTCAGTTGCTGCGCACTTTAATAAAGTGAAGGGGGCGCTAACGCTTTTCGGGAAGGATGCCGTATGAATTGTTTGATTATTACGCAGCAACCAGAAGGCAGTGTTCGATTCCGTACCGAAAGTTTTTCATTCCTTTGCCTTCCGCCTGGTTGAACTAGAACTGGCGATCAACCACATCCAGAGTGCACAAACCTCCCTTCGTCCACTCTCTCCCGTGCCTCCCGGGGGCTGCTGAGCAATGCCCACCCCTTCTCCCTTGGTGTAAGATATCTTTACCTTTTTCCTTTTCCTAATTTTTCCTTCCTATTTCATTTCATGGTCATTATTTTTCCTTTGGGAGTGGGTTTTCTTTTTTTGTTTTTGTTTTATTCCATTTTCCAAAAAAAATACTATTTTCTTCTGCCTGTTTTAATCTTTCTTATTCTTTTACAACTGGTGCTTTTGGTTATAGTATGAGTAGTTGTAAGGACCTCTCTGTGGCTTTCAAGATGATTACTGCATCTCCATGCGTTTTAGTTAGAATAGAAAGACCAACTGCAACGGGAGACGCATAAGTAAACACTAAGTATGCTCAGGTGTGAGTAGCTAATCAGGGTGAGGGAAGTGGGAAAAAAAAGCAAAAAATTGGAAAAGAAAAAAAAGAAAATAAGGAAATAAACCAAAAGCAAACCAATCTGGGCGGCACACCACGACGGTTGCAATGCGACGCTAAACCCGACTTATTATTGGATCTGATATGGGTCCTACGGAGTTAGCAGGCACGTATTATTCCAAGACCGCGCGAGGTGCTGTCCGAACTTCCACCCCTCTTCCTTTTTCCTCCCCCCCTCTCTCTCTCTTCTCCAAAAGGCGTAGGAAAAAAAGCCCCCTCTTCCTCCCTGGACCAGTAAAATGACCTATAGACACTAGAACCTAACGCTGAATCTGGTCTAGGGCTGCTGACCTTGTTACCCTTCCACTACTCCGTAGCATGCATCCACTTTGTTCCCCCCCTCCCCGTGGCTCTGACATCAACCGGTATTTCATTCTCTTCAAGACAAAGCAGAGACAATCAAACCCGGGCAGCCAAACCGGAACCGACCCAAACGAGGCCAGAAAGGAGGATCAACCCTCTGGACCTGCGTCCGGGTCAAACTCTGTCTATCCTGTATGGGCACAGCACTTTCTCCGGACGAGAACTAGCCTACCCTGGCTCCTCTAGCGGAGTTGCTCTGAAGATGATTAGCCATTTGCTGGATGGAGGATGATGTCTTGACTTCATCCTTCATTATTAGTACCTTTCTTTTACCTTTTTATTTTTATTAATTTCCTGATTTTTATTTTTACTTTTATTATTCGGCCTTATTCAATTGATTCCGTCTCCTCTATGGGCTCTCAATCCATCCAAGGCCTCTTCTTATTTATTTCATCATTTTTTTTTCTAATTTCCTTTTTGGCTCTAAATTAACTCTCTTGAATTTCCTTTATGATCGTCTCAATTGCCCTTTGAACTACCTGAGATATAATACCTTTTTATAACTGGCTGTACTTGCAACCTAAGTTATTGCAATCTATACCCAGAACCTCACCTTCCATTCTTCTGTCACTACTACTTACTTTCTATAACTACTACGACCCTTCCTACATCTCGTTCACCTTTAATATACCTACTATGTGATAATCCTTTTTCATCCTATTTTCTTGGTCCCTGCTTCCATTACTCCCACCCCCTTAAGTGCCTTCATTCCATCTGGGAAAGCAGCATTCACCGGATCCGCTGCTGTTGCTATCCTACCAACTCCTCCCCCGCAGCCAGGCTGATATTCCCTTGGAACCCCAATTCATTTATCGGCGATTTCCTCGTTGGACCTCGTGTGTGTTGCTTCCATTGTCTGGATTTGTCGCAACAAGCCGTCGCATACCACGCCGAAAATCGAAGACCTGGGAAGTTCCTGGTTTGATTCAACACTCGACCCGCGAATAACACCAACTTGGTCAAGAGCTAGTCCAATGCGAGTTCTTTGACAAGGGTGTCACCTTTATATCTCCATCCTCGGTTCTATAACTTCAATCTTGACGCCATCCTTAAATACCTCCCATATGTCTCTCCCGATCCTCTCAACGAAGCCGTATCTCCCCGCCCTCCACCCGATCACTCCTACTATAGCTCCTTCCTCGCGGACTAGAGGCTCGCTCAGTGCAAGGAAACGACCTCTTGAGGCTATTTCGGAAGTTCCTGATTACACCTGGACTGCTCCCTTCCGGGACGGTCTGCCTACCCCTCCGAACGATATGAATAGCGTCACTGCTTGCAGCGCTCTGCCGGCGTCTTCCTATGGGGGCAAGCTCGATGGATTTCAGCTTCCACCCTATTCCAAGGTGTCTGACTATACGCGCATGCCTTCTGATGTGTCGAATGGAGCGGTCTCCTCGTCCCAGCCGCAATATCAAGCGCCGGCCAAGGATGCCATGACCTCCGAACGAGAGTCTCAGAAGAAGAGCAGCTCCAATGGTGTTGCGTCGTATCTTCAGATTCCTCCGTCTATCAGCAACAGCCAAGGAAGCCTGGCTGAATTTGCAGCACAGGTAAGCTGGGTTCTTCTATCCGTTCTGGATCCAAGATGCTGACTAGGCCGTAGATGACGTGCCTTTTCTGGTTCGAAAGTACAGCGAAACTGAAGGCCGTGGAGGACCGTCTCAAGCCGGCCACTTCGCTTGCACCAGAAGCAGTTCCCGCTGTTGCGTTCCAAAAGTGGGTGACAAATATCCTGTCAACTACACAGGTTAGCCAGAACGTCATCTTACTGGCACTGCTCTTCGTCTACCGGTTGAAGAAGTTCAACCCTGGTGTGCGGGGAAAGAAGGGTAGTGAGTATCGGCTGATGACCATCGCGCTGATGCTGGGCAATAAATGTATGTCTCTTTAGTAAAATGGCCATGGATAGAGAGCTGACACAGGGTAGTCCTCGATGATAACACATACACGAACAAGACCTGGGCAGAGGTCTCCGGGATCACAGTCCAAGAGATCCACATCATGGAAGTGGAGTTCCTTAGCAACATTCGCTATAATCTTTTCGTGTCCAAAGAAGAATGGAACGAGTGGCACGCCAAACTCGGGCTTTTCTCGAACTACTTTAACAACGCACCTCGAGCTATTGAGAAGAACGAGAAACACCCTACTCCGCCAGTCCTCAATGTGTCTCCCACTTTGGTGCCATCACCTCGGGCACATTTGCCGTCACCTTCGACAAAGTTGCCGTCGCCTCCCGCATCCGATCCCCTCCGGACGCAGCCCTGGGCTTTGCCTATGAACACTTTGCCATACACTGGCGCACCTCAGCTCCCAAGCGACCTGCCACCGGCCACTAGCTCTCGGAAGCGGTCCCGTGAAGAGCCACTGGAGGAGCCTACAGCGAAGAGGACAGCCATGCCCAACAACATACTCACATCCATGCCGTCACTTCCACCGTCATCGGCCCTCACAAGCATTCCGGCCTTGCCTCCGGTTCTAGCGTCCTCCAGTGTCCCCCCTCACCTTCCGGCCATGTCAGAACCGGTCTCGCGACTCCCCCGGCCCAACTTCCCGTCTCACAGTCTTCCCCCTACCATGCCGACGTCTTTGTCTCAACTTCCCCCTTCCGGTCGAGTCATGCCCCCGGTCTACAACCCTTCTGCCAATTGGGTTCCACAGATGCCACCTGCGACGTCGGTTCCTACTACTGCCGTTGCACCTTTGGCCAACGGACTATACAACACGTCCATCTCACTACCCGACCCCAGCAGACACCACAACAGTCCGTTCACAGTGACATCAGGCACAATCTCGCCTGCAGTTTCTGCGTACTCCGTCCACACTCCTCAAAACCACCTCTCCCCTTCCTTCTTTTTGGCAAACCGAAACTCGCCTTACCGACCGGTTCGCAGTGTCAATACGTTGTTGATTCCGCCCCCGTCGGCGTCTCTGCAGCAGCGCAGTAACATCCCGTTCGAGCACATGCACTACCAGCCGCTTGGCAAAAACGAACGCAGGACGGGTGTGCTGCCATATGCGCAGTCTGAGGCTTGGCCGCAGGGACCTTTCCCGCAACCGATCTTCCACGCCACACTGAACTATTAGATGACTTGCCGTTATCGAAACAGCTTTTTTACGACTAGATTTTACGATGATATACGAGAAGAAGTTCGCATTCTTTTCTCTCTTTTGCTTGTCTCGCACACCTGTCGTTCATGTTTGCCCCTTTGTGTATCTTGTACAAAACTTTCTTCACTCTGTGTTATGACCTAGCATTATTACGGCGTTGGCATTTATAGATGGCCTTTGTACTGGGAAGGAATTGTTTGCATACTTGGCCATGGGAGGGATTCTGATTGATTTTTCGAAGCATGGGTATGGCGTGGTTCCTGTACGTTTAACACTAACGTATGCTTGCATTTGCATGACGGATCGTTCAAGCGATCGAACTAGCGGGCTAAAAGACCTGCTACAATAACAAAAACTTACACATCAATATCTTTCTGCTCAGTAGGAGGCATCTATAGTAGTCTGTCAATTCTAATGGTGACTTGATTATCTCACCGCCTTAGTCTTGGACATAACTCTGACGGACAAATCGAGCGGTGAGATCTAGTCAAGTGAGAACTTAAGTAGAATAACCAGAGTAATACTGACCACCAGGCTTCTAACAGACATATATCAATCAAATACACATACATAGGCATACACACATCTCTCGCAGTTTAAACACCTAAATAGCAACCCCTACCCCATTAAGAAAACTACACTCAACATCCTCCACACCCAACAAACCACCACCTACTCTCAAGTCCCCCCCGGCCCGACAAATTCTCCGACCCGACCCGACCCTTCCCTTTCCCGCCTCAGGCACCCAACCCGCACCTCCGAAAACGAAAGATCTTTGTCCGCGGAACTCCCATCAACAACCATCACAACCATCAATCAACCACCACACCACGCACCATGCCTCCCCGGCTCCAATTGCTGCCCTTCCAATGGCAGCGGCCAATGGCCACCACCACGACGAACCTCCTCTCCGCCTTCCTCCTGCCCCCAGCCGTCCACCAACAGAGTCGGAACGCGCACATCCTCGCCTCGCTCTCCGATACCCAGGGCGCCTACAACAAGCGCATCAGAAGAGGTCGTGGTCCTGCCTCCGGCAAGGGTAAAACCTCCGGAAGAGGTCACAAGGGTCAGAAGCAGCATGGAAAGGTCCCCGCTGCGTTTAATGGTGGTCAAACGCCGGATATTATTGTTCATGGTGAGAGGGGGTTTAATAATGTGTATGTTTTCCCCCTTCCCCTCCGCCCTTGTCATCTTTGACACGGAGAGAAAGATGATCTTGAATAAATTCTAACGAGAATCAATGGGATCGGATAGTCACTCCATCGACCTCGCCCCCGTGAACCTCGACCGGATCCAATCCTGGATCGACCAAGGCCGCATCGACCCAACCCGCCCCATCACGGTCCGCGAACTCGCTCAGTCGCGCTGCATCCATCAGACCAAAGAAGGCGTGAAGCTTCTCGGCCGCGGCGTGGAGAAGGACGACCACGAGGTTCCCGTCGACAGTGTGCTCAAGCAGCCTATTCATATCGTTGTGTCGAGGGCTTCGGCGTCTGCTATCGCGGCTGTTGAGGCGGCTGGTGGGTCTGTCACCACGAGGTTCTATACCAAGTCTGCGATTGCGCGGATCATGAAGCGCGAGATGCATCCGTTTGTGTCGCTTGCGTGGACCAAGGAGAGTGGGAGTGAGGCGTTGGCGGTTGGTGAGGATGGAGAGGCCTTGACGGAGTCGAAGGTTATGAAGGAGATGGGGTTCGCGTATAGATTGCCGGATCCGACTAAGAGAAGGGATATTGAGTATTATAGGGACCCAGCGCATAGGGGGTACCTCAGTCATTTGCTGAAGCCGATGGAAGGCCCGAGTTTGTTCTTCAGGTCGCCTGTGGAGCGGAAGTCTGCTGCTGGTGTTAGGAAGGAGAAGGTGTTGCCTGAGAATAGGCTTTGGTGATTGTGTTAGGGGGGTGATTTATGAAGGTTGTGTAGGTGATGAAGGGGGTGGTTTGGTTTGGGTGTAGGTATAGATGTTGGTTTCGTTGAGTTCTTTGCTTTCCTTTTGGTTATTATCTCTTGTATAAATATGCTTGTATGTTATGTTATGCTTGTGGATATGGTTCATTACATTTAGGCTTGACTTGACTCTTCAATTCTTTTTCTACATCCCTTGGTTACCCTGTTACTGCATACAAGAATCGAAGTGACTACAGAACATGACAGAATTTTAGCCACGAGTCAATTAGACTATCTCCGCTAGATACAAGTCCCTCTCCCACCACCATTTGTTCAATTCATTCATAGTAGCAGAATGTCGCTCATATGTCAAAGAAAGCAAATGCCCTGAGAAGAAGAGAGAAGAGACTGTGGACACACCAAAAATAGCCAGAGAACCTCTCAGCAAGCAAGAAGACCGTCCAGATATAGGTAGGTAATACAGATGTTAAAAGGAAAAAGCGAAATGGGAAATGGGATATGTCAAGTTTTGTTCGCAAACCCTCACCGCTGAAAAGAAACAACAAACACCATGCCTTATCACCAGGAAAAAAGCGTTTTGTTGCAAGTGAAAGGTGAAGCCAAAGAAGATGTGATACCAAACCAAAACCAGACCCTCTTCTTGCCCGAAAAATGTCCCGACGGCGATTTGTAATGCCTGTAACAAAACACATAAAGTAGAGAGGTATACCGAGATGCGCTAAAGCAGAAAAATTCAAGAACTCATAAATCAGAACGCTGCCAACATAGAAAGAGGGTATCATAGATGATCAACATTCCGGAAACACCAGCGCTCGTGAGTATCATAAAAGCGCCAGTCATGATCATCGGTCATTCGTAAAGCAACATTCCCAGTCCCCCGACGGGAGGAAAATCGATCGACTGGGGAAGAAAGAAAGAGAAAGAATATAATGCGTTGAGGCACTGCAACGAATGGAGCCCTTTACAGCTTCCATGCCGACTCCGTAGGGCTCTCTGCATTGTCCAAAAATTCCCGCAACCAGCGGGAAGACAGCACGTCACGGATCGACCATCGCTTATCAACGTTCATATTTAAGCAGCCCATTATCAACTCCAATGCGTCTTCTCTGTCCTGGCGAAGCTGGGGATCCGCTTCTTCACCCACCACAGCATGTTTATTCCAATTCCCACTGAGGATGTTCGATTGAATCCGAGGAGCAAAAGCATCCTGGAACGGCCGTGATCCGACGACAATGGTGAACACGATGACACCAAATGCCCACATGTCCACCGAAGGATCGATAACTCCATTTGTCGAAAGAAGGAGCTCTGGGGAAGCGTACTCCAAGCTTCCCGCAACGCTGGTACTGGAACCAGCAGGGCCGATGGTCTTGGGCGGGGGACGGTCTGCCGCGTTATCGTAAGGATCAGGTGATGCATCCTCATTGTCCGAGTTCATCCACTCTGCCATTCCGAAATCGCACAGAACGAGAGTAGATGTCTTCGTCCCATCAGGAGACTCAGTAGGATCCAATAAGCAGTTCTCCAGCTTGATGTCCCTATGAACAACTCGAGCATCCTCGTGGAGGTACCTCAGGGCACACGCAAGCTGAAACGCATACTTTTTGGCTAGCGTCATCTCCAATCCGCGGCGGTTCTGCCGCACGAGATCGAAGAGCGTGCCGCCAATAGCCAGTTTTGTGAAGCAGAAAGTGGCATAATCGGTCTCGTAGACCGCGTCCAATGTCAGGACGTTCGGATGGCTTAGATATCGCCAAACTCGCACCTCGTGGTCGAACTCCGCTTGGACCTCGTCATTTTCCTTCTCGCTTCGTCCAGAAACTTGTTTTTTGACGATCTTGACGGCAAGCCGTTTTGTCTTGCCACTTTCCTCGACCTTGTAGGCCTCCTTTACTGTGCTAAAGCCACCAAATCCTATCTGCTTGCCCAGGACATACTCAGTACCGACCATTTGTCCCTCATCATCTGGCTGAGGAGCCGGCTCCTCAGCACCAGTGCTCCACATAGACAGAAACATGCTGGCCGGAGATTTGCCGCTCGAGGCAGTAGACCTGCGAGACCGCTGGCGGGTTGAGACGCGAAGACCTCGTGCCTTACTTCCAAAGGGAGTCATGACACTACCTGACCAGGAGCTGCGGTCATCAAGTGAAGCGAACGTCTGTACGGGCGAGGCCACGCAGATGGGAGACGATAACATGCCCCGCGACCCTTCTGGAGGGGTTCGCAGCTCCTCCGTGATAGGAGACGCAGTAGATAGAGACGTGAGAGAAGTAGGATGCTCAATATCAGATGGGATAGCACCGTTTTCTTCGGGGAAGCTGTCGCGAGTGATCCCCGTAGGGATGGCTCGTCGTTCCTGCTGCCTCCTAAGGCTAGAACTGAGTCCCACCTGTCTTCCGTTGTGGTCAGCATCATCTTCCAGAGGCAAAGAATTCCTCAAGCTCGAACTCTTTGCTTGGAACCGTTGAGTGCGGTTCCTAACGTCTCCTCTCGAAGAAGAAGGATCCTCTAGCGGTCGGCGTCGGCCAGAGTCAAGGGCGGCGTCAAAGCTGATGGAAGGGCGGCGTTCTTGAAGAAAGCTGTCGAGCGGAGATGATGCTTGTACATCCTCTGGCTTGTGAGGAAAGTGGACATCTTGCTTGGGATAATCATCATGACGGGGAACGGAGATGGGGGGTGTCGCTGAGTGCAGACCACTCAAAGCACTGTTGTCTTCATCAGTACCGCAACGGGGTGCGTGATAATCGTGAAAGATGTTTGTACGATCGCCCTCGATACCGTCTCCCTGATCCGACACTCTTCTGCCTCCATCATCACCCCGCCACCGGGGTCTCGGCGAATGCTGAAAGGCCGTCTCTAGCTTCAACCCAACCAACCCGTTGTTCCTCCCAGTCTGAGCCATGCCCTCGGAGAGAGAGCAAAGTAATATCCAAGGGCGTCAAGGATCAGACAGCCACGATCTAACTGTCGTGGGATTCGCGGATGACTCGAAGCTTGCACATGAAGAAGGAAGGAGAAAGAGGAGAGTGAATAGTAAGAGGAGTAGAAGGAGGAGTAGGAGGAGTGGGCGGGAGGAGACCGTTTGTAATCTTATCGAGTCCGTGTAATACTACTACTTATCGGAGGGTCCCGATCCCACCGGAGCTAAACTCAAAAGTGCAGTGAGTCAGATGAGAAAAGGAACTAAAATAGAACAAAGTAATATACTAGGGGTGATAGGGCAGGCAGTTGATTGGAGTTAGGTAGAAGAAGGAAAACAAACGGCGTGCTTCTAGGCAGCTGTGGAGGGAAGAAAGAAGGAAAAATCGTCAGACACCAGGGACGAAAATGGTGAACGAAGGGCAATATCGGGTGATGACGGAGCTGAATTGAAGGGTTCCATAGAAGGGTCGGAGCAGCAGACGTAGGTGGGGGACAGCCTGGACCAATCAGCAATGCAGCTTAGGTGGTACACGGCGTCGTTCATGACGGAGGGATCGACCATCCACCGCCAGTCAGAGCCCGCCGTGGTTCCAGAGTCACTTTAATCACCTGCCAATTCGCCCATCTCGCGCCCCCCCATCACCTGATGTTATCGCCCTGGCCCTATGCCCTGAGCCCTATACAAAACCCATCTTACCTCAGCGTCCCCATACCAGCTAACCGCTTCAGGTTAAAATCACTTACCTAAGACAGCATTGGCGCGTGGCCAGTCAGCTGCAGGGCCAGGCACGGGCCCTGAACGCCGTTCTTTGGTAAGATGTGGATAAGCGCGCGCAAGGGGCGCTTGTTTGGAGCAACCAGTTTGGAGACCTCCTTTTTTCGGGTCTGTCTCAAACAATCCAGAAAGTCCGGGGAACTCGTCCGGCCTTTGGTTTCTTGACTCGGTTCTGGGCACCAGCTTCACTTCTCCAAAACATCGGCGTTTTTGGCTATCGTTTTCTATTGCTTCGCTTTTGCTTTCGTCTTTGTGTCACTCTGGAAGTCTTTCTTTCGCCTTGTTGCCTGAACCATCGTCGCCTGGTCGGACGCCCAAGTACCCACCCCCCGCCGTTGCTGTTCCTGGCATTTCCTTCCTTCTTTCGCGTCGATACATCCATCGCAGCTAGAATTTCCAGTGGAATTCGCTCCTTTCTCGATTTTCCAATATCCCTTCACACTCCCTTACCGTTCCTACCCCGACGTCGGGCAGCGGCCAGTTGCGTTACCACGTGGTTCCAATGCCCGTGATCCCATAAGTCGTGCCTTCGTGCGGAGATTCGAAAGACGTTCCCTTCAAATCATAGTTGTGACTGCTTAGAAACGTAGCAAACATGGCGAGGCCACGGATTGTACGGGCTGGTACGTCTACTCCGAGCACATGGTCGCCGATCCGTATACCGGCTCCGCCCTTGCTGACCCAGATTATGTTATGATAGACACCCTTGACCTCCAAGACCACAACGCTCCTTCAGCTAAAGATCACACGCGGCAACCTACTCACTCATCTGGAGTCGCTCCTCACCAGGAGCAAACCCTTCGCCATGCGGACGACGTTATCAAATCCGAGATGATGCACGGCCCCGGCGTTGAAGATGACCATCCGGAAGCTGGATACGGCGATGGGATTGATATATACGACGACGACGATGATGATATTGAGGAAGTGGACGAACTGGGACACCATCATCACAAGGGTGATTCTGGGGGTTCCGAAGAAGGCGATCTTGCGGATGGGGAAAGCGACGACATGATGGACGACGATCTCATGGACAAGATTTCAAGCTCTCCATCGATTGATGACGGTGCGTTCCGCCTCTTTTGGTTCTTTCGGGGAATACGTAGACATCCCTGTGTCACACAACCCGCCTGTATCCAAGCATCTTATTTGCCCTCAGCCGTCCAGCTCTGGACCATGGCTAACCCTGACCAGAGGACATCGATTTTGAATTTGTTTATGCCCTTCACAACTTTTTCGCAACCGTTGACGGACAAGCAAATGCGGCGAAGGGCGATACCATGGTTCTTTTAGACGATAGCAACAGCTACTGGTGGCTTGTTAGGATCGTAAAGGATGGCAGTATCGGTAGGTTACCTGAGATGTTACACGAGATGTCAGCTAATTATCCGGTAGGTTACTTGCCAGCCGAACACATTGAGACGCCCACAGAGAGGTTGGCGAGATTGAATAAACACAGAAACGTAGATGTAAGTGCTAATATTGATCCCATGGTCTTTTTCTAACGTCATCAGTTGTCCGCAACCATGCTTGGCGATAATTCGGAAAAGTCCAAGAATCCGCTGAAGAAAGCAATGCGCCGCAGAAATGCGAAGACCGTTACTTTCACAAGCCCAACATACATTGAAGCATCTGATGTAGAATACTCAACCGAAGAGGAAATGGACGACGATATCTCTTTCCAAGACGAAGATATGGCCCGGGAGGATGCGGATCACTTACAGGATGGCCAGAATGAAGACATTGTTGTCAAGCCTCTCAGACCCAAGTCGCAGAAGGACAGAGGAATCGAAGAAGACGACATCCAGGAAGTGCAAGAGCCTGACAGCGCTAGTTCCGACAAGCAGCGGTCCAGCCAGGAGATATTTGAAGCGGAAGGTGAGGACATCCCTCAGAGATAGCAGAGTGGAAGCTAACAGTCTCCAGCGGAAAATGCTGTCAGTAGGTCCAGAAATGGCACTGTGCGGAATACGGACTCCTTTTTCAAGGATGATACTGTTGAAACCAAGAAGATCTCTTTGACACCGAACCTGCTTCGGGATGAGAACTCATCGGGTGAGGCGAAAGAGGTAAGCATATATCTAGTTCACTGCCTCTGTCGTTATGAAGGCTAATCGGTCAGCAGAGCCGCGGCAGCATGGAGGCGATCGACAAGACGCTCAGCGCTATTGACAAGAACAAGGACGATAAGAAGCGTAAAGACAAAAAGCCAGGAATGCTCAGCGGCCTGTTCAAGAGGAAGGACAAGAAGACCAAGTCTAACGATGAGGACACGGATGAAGCGGAAAAGACCTCAACGGAGCTGTCTCGGACGTCCCCACAACCGAAGACATCGTCGGATTCTTTGTCTTCTCCCGAATCTGCTCGATCGCCTAAGCCTTTGGTGGTGCAGAGACAGACCAGCAAGTTGCAGAAGCAACCTCCTTCGGCTATGTCTCCAACTAGGCAAGACATAATCCAGGAATTTGGTCTTCAGAGTCCCATCGATGGTAAAGAAGAGCCGAGGCCAATTATGAGTTCGAAGGATCAGACCATCCGACAGGTAACTTCCGAAGAGGATGATGATATCCCATCATCTCCTCCCCTTGGGCCTTTCGACGACAGCCAGGAAGCTATTTTGTCTTCTGCCCGTGTGCCAAGTCCTTCAAAGAAGCCGGCTTCAACTCCGTTCGTTAACCAAGAACACCCATCCGCTGACATCCAGAAAACCTGGGAGGAGGATATGTCTGAGAACACATATTCTCAACAACGGTCCGTGGCGTCTCCTCCACAGAAATTCACACCAAAGCAAACCTTGAACTACCAGCCACAGCGTCTAGATTCGCCTCTCAGCGGTTCTCCGCTGGAAGGACCGGTTTCACCTCTTACACCAGGATTGGTGGCAGGCCTGCCATCCCCTGGGAGACATTCGGTCTCATCGGTGTCCCCGCCCTTATCTCCTATTGCTGGTGACAGCGATCACAGAGGCATCGACGCCGTGCCTGCGTCGTTTGAAACTGCGTCTGCTGGAACACCGACTTGGAGCGATGCTAGCTTGCGGTCATACTTGGATGACGAGAACGACATCCGCGATCTATTTATCATTGTCCACGATAACTCTAACATCCCACCCGCTGGCCCTGACCACCCGATTACTGGCTGTCTCTTCAAAGAAGAGAGCAAGAGGCTGAGGGAGATGACCAGCCAGCTGGATGCGATGCTCGCTGAGTGGGTAGGCCGGAGGACGCGGAGTGCGGCGAGCAAATAAGCAGGTCTTTTGGTCTCGGGTCCTTGGTGTACACTCGACTGGTCACATCTGCAACTCCGGTTATTCGCGCAAATTCCAAGAGGACGGGTCACTCCGTTCGCCAGGGGCTAACAATGTGCTGGACGCATGAACTTGGTTGGCCCATGTTATTGTCCCTCTTTCAATCCGTCTCTCATTCGGGGACTCGATCATACCTGCGCTGTCACTTGCATAGCGCGACTCATTCATCCCGACAGGTGATGATCGGTCATATCTGGCCTTGATTTTCTCTGACTTTTTATGTTTTTGTATGCTTCAGTCTTTTAGTGTTGCGAGCTGTATCTTTCTTTTATTGCTTGTATGTTCTCTGCATTGAAGCCCATCTTCTACAGTTGCTGGGATACCCTAAACTACACACCTCCAATACCTCGTGCACTTTTCCCCCGACTTTTCATGAAGTGATGTTAGATCTACATGTTCGTTATTCATCAATCAACTTTTGCATTCATTCAAGCACACCGCCTTGTTGGGGAACCTACGTGATAGATCATGCAATATCAAGAATATCACGAAGACAATAGCCCTGTAGGAGTGTAGGAGCGCTCCACTTCAGCCAGAACAAACAGACCCGGCCCAGCCGCGTAAAAAGAGGCCACCCTGTCGCCAAGTCCGAGTCATCAGTTCGTATGTGTTCGCGAGGCTGAGTCGTGCGGAACGGTCACCTGCACCCACCCCCGTCAGCCGCCAGTCACCCACCACCCATTCCTGCAGCACGCCCCAGCTGATCATCTTCACAGGACAACCATATACTATCCGAATATAACAGCCATCCCAACTGCAACCCCATACATGCATCCATCCATACATACATACATACATACCAACCAATATCCCTCACCACACATTCATTCCCAAACCAGACCAGCGATAAACTGTCCCATCCATTAAATTCCTCACTTCCAAAATATGTCCGACCCCTACCCCCAGCACCAGCAACCATCCTACCCCTCTCCCGTCCCAAATAGCGAAACTCCGTACTACTCTCCCCCGGACGGCGTCTACCAGCACGCAGGATACGACTACGAACCGCAACAGTTCTACAATCAACATGCGCTGCCGAATCAAGACCCCGCTTATAGTTCTCAGTACGACGTGAGCCAGATCCCTCGGTCTTATCCGACACAATGGAATCCGCAGCCTGCTAGCAGCAGCAGCACCAATATCAATAATGTCAACAATGAGTCTAATCCTACATCGCATTATGATCCCGACCGTCTAGGACCGGGCTATGAACCGCCTATTCGGAGGGGGAGTAATGCTGAGTACTAGTCTGTTTTTCTTTCCCTCAATCTCATATGTAAATTATACAGCATACACTTATACTTATACACAAGGGAATAAAACAGTGCCCAATCCGCCGCAGACATGCAAGCCCTTCCTCCTTCAGCCCTGGAGACCGAACAGCAATCCCGCACCAACGGAAATGATCCCACTACCGCTGGTGCTACTGGTGAAGAAGAAGGCGAGCGCAGTCTAGGTGGAGCTGTTCTCGGTGGTGCGACAGGGTACTATCTGGGACATAAGAAAGACCATGGACTTTTGGGGGCAGTTGGGGGTGCGATCTTGGGAAATTTCGTTAGTAATAAGATGAAGAAGGACGATAGTGATGAAGAGGTGGAGGTGGATGATGATCGCGAGACGGAGTACACTCGGTATCATAGTAGTCATTATCGACGGTCGTCGAGTCATGGACATGGACACCATCATCATCACCACCATCACCATCATCATCATCATGGTCATGGACATCGGAGTCGGAGTCGAAGTCGGCATGAGGAGTATGAGGAGTGGTAGGGAAGTATTATGAGTTATGAGTTATGGGTTATGATTTGATTGTTTCCTTGAGCAGTGAGCCATGTTGGATATGAATCATGATGTTGATACCCTCTTTGTCTCTGTTTATGCTTCTACTTACTGTGAGTTACGGGCTATATAGAATGTTATCTATTCAATTGATCCACACGGTGTCTGTCCAGGATACGTACTCCTCAACATAAGCCCACCNCCACACCCCCCCCCCCCCCCCCCCAAATGTTCCAGCCCACTTCACAAAGAAGAATCAATATCAAATCATCTAACCTCCATCTAAACTCCTCGTTCCCCATCTCACTTACCTCGATTCAGCTAGATCTCAGCCACCAGAAACACTCCATAACTCTTCAGCCCCCCGAGAGCCAATCATATCCTCAGAGCACCCTAGATGTCGAAAGAATCGCCAAAATCCACTTTCGGGCTACTGTCCAATGGGAGGGGCTGTTCGTGACGCGTTGTACGCGATGGAAAGTGAATGAGAGGGATGGAGGGGTCTGGACGGGTCTACTGTGGAAGGAATGGATATATACTGGTGAATGTGAAGTGATGGGATAGTTAGTGGGGTGCTTGGATTAAGTGGCTATCTATGGCTACATGTGATGGTGTGACCTGATGGCGGGATTGTGCGATGGTAAGTATATGATGTTCTTGAGGTTGTGGTAGGTTAACTTATTTGAGGTATAAGAAGGCGTCTTATAGTTCTTGTCTTGCAGTGGTAGTTACTATAGCTGCCGCATGTAATAAGGGATGGGATGGGAGGGGATATGAAATGGAAAGGTGACTAATGAGTCTAGTACATTGAAGACTGCCAATTTGATGCTGATGGTTGGTGTTGTCATCATCGCTGACAGAGGGGTTTGATGAAGGTAAACTTATGGCGACAGTTCAGGGTCTTATCACCAAGACGAAGGGGACCCTTGTACCTGCATGTTTTAGTGTCATCCACATCCTGGTTACACGCCTCGATCGTGAGATCGTGAATAGGCGGTGAGATGCGGTTTTGGAGGATTGAGTAGTTGATCGCGTGCGTGGTTACTCTTGAAATTTACAGAGAAACGGTGTGGATTCAGTGATTGTTTTCAAGTAAAGTGAAGACAAAGAAAAGTCATACGATCAAGAGCATTTTCATAGATAGCGTGGGCTGGGGCTATCAGAGATAAGCGTCTAATTAGCTGTTCGGGGAGATGCTAGCGGATCTACGAACGGATGGCCGATATGCTCCATATTCATATCTCTCACCTTTATTCCTTCTGTCTGCCCGCTTGCCGATAATGGTGAGCCCAGATAGATAAGAGTTCTCTTGCTCTCTGCTACGTTAGTGTCCCTTTGCGGTTTTTGCCGAAAATATCCCTGATATCTCCGAAACAAGATGCAGGCCGAGATAGGCCATCCGTCAACCCGAGCCATGTATGTCTCAAAAGAGGTGGCAGTGACGGATTGTTTGGAAACCGAACGAGAAGCCTATCGTAGTAGGCGATTAGGGTTGCAATCGATGGTGCTGTCTGTGCTTTTGCCTGGATTTAACCTTCAATAAACAGTGTGGGTCAGGACTCCGGGGCAGCCGTGATCTTGACCGGGGATTGCCTTGGGCGGGTCTGGGAAGTCTCGGGCTCTGCCTTGGAAAGGCGTCTTCGCATCCATGGGATGACGGCAAAATTGTGATTCGGAGTCAAAAAAGTCTATCATGCCTCTTCCCTTCGGCAATCAACCAGTATTGTCCGTGTCACCCCACGCTCAGTCTGACTTAATCTCGGAGAGTTTGGGCGATGAATGCAGTAGGAATGTGAACAGCCGACCGAAGCGCAGGAGAAGGCAGATCAAAGGAGAATCCCGGGGTTTGAAAGGGGTAGGGTTACCGGAAAGAGGGGGGGAAGAGCGAGCTGAGAGAGAGTCATCACTCACTATCTGCAATGGTCCCAGTGCGGACGGACCAGCAGATCCGGAATGAAGATGAGGATTATTGATTGGAGTTAGTCAAGATAGTTAGTCTAATTGTTGCCGAACGGAGTCCGCTCCATTCCGAGTCCTCTTTGCCTCTGGGGCAAAGCCAATCAGCAGGCGGCGATAGGGATCATCCTCCATCCTCAGCCCCAGAATCAACTCGTGACTCGATCTCGAGGCCGCCAAGTGTGACTGACTCCCTTCCCTTGTCGCGCATGCCTTCACCTCCTTCTCCTTCCTCTCTCTTCCTCTTTCTCTCTCTCTTCTTCCTTCTTCATCTTTTCTCACTCTCTTCCCTCGTCTTTCGTCTTTGTTTCTCGTTAGCAAGCTGCTGACGGGATTGCCTACCCTCTTTGCTTTGTTCGTCTTATCGCCCTGCCTTATCTAGCGTTCCTTCCTACCGCTACAGAGACACGTCCTATACTTCCAACACCAAAGATACTTCTACAGTCTGTCTAGGTCACACACAGATATTAGTCTCCTGGCACAAGAAATAGCCATGCCTCCTCCTCTCTTACAACAGATTCATGCAGTGCTCCCGCAACACTGTGAACCGACAACCCCATTCCTCGCGGCCGTGTCCTCCTACCTCCACATCTGCCTCCCCACACCGTTAGCCTTCGTCTCCTCCGTTCTCGGAACCCTCAGCATCGTGTCATGGCTCTTCGCTCAGCTCCCACAAATATACAAGAATTATCAAATCCAGTCGACGGCTGGCTTGTCACTGTTTTTCCTCGTGGAGTGGTGTCTGGGTGATACTAGTAACCTCCTGGGTGCTCTGCTCACCCGGCAGGCAGGCTGGCAGGTCATCGTGGCTGCTTACTATGTCTGCGTTGACGTGACTCTGGTCTTCCAATACTTTTGGTACACACACTATAGGGGACAGTATGATGGCTACGGTGCCCTTGCTCATTCGGAATATGATCGGCCTCCGGGTAGTGTCTTGGAAGGCGTCTCATTCTCCGACAACAGCTCTTCCGATCACGCCCCACGTTCTACAGAGTCCCCCTTGCCGTCAAATCCCAAAGACATGAAAGATATCAAGGAACCTGCGGTGCCGAGTTCCAACGGGCAATCTCCTTCTTACTCCAATGAGAAACTGAGCTCCTCTAAGCGCTCAATCACCCGATCCAGCAGTGGCCCCAGCCTCCCAATTGGGTCCCCACGCACTCTGCTGCTTGCATCAATGCTGTGCGCCGTCGTGGCCAATGCTGCTCCGACAGAGCAGCAAACAACATCCGAATCCTCACAGAAGACTCTCGAGATCCTCGGCCGGATCATCTCCTGGATGTCAACATTCCTCTACCTCGGCTCGCGGCCACCCCAACTATACAAGAACTACTGCCGGAAGAGCACATCAGGCCTCTCCCCATTACTATTCATGGCTGCCTTTTGCGGGAACCTCTTCTACTCCGCCTCCCTTCTTACCAATCCTAATGCTTGGTATGATTTCCCTGCCTATGGGGGTGGTGGCTGGGCCGATGCAGATGGCAACGACCGCCTTGAATGGGTTACCCGAGCTACTCCCTTCTTCCTTGGCGCCTTCGGTGTGCTAGCCTTTGACGGACTCATGGGCGTGCAGTTCCTCATGTATGGAACCCGGGATGACGAGTCTATCATGCAAGTTGAAGACCCCAAAGACGGACGTAGTCGTTGGACCCGCGTTCGGGGCTGGATGAGGGGCTGGATCCCTTCAGTGTCCCCTGCGCGACGGCTTCGCTCTGACGCCACAGTCTCTTCAGAGGAGAACCAATCTCTCCTGCAGAATGAGCGGGAGAGATACGGTACAGTTTGATTATGATCTCATTCTGTATTACTATACCCTACTTGTCGCTATTTTTTGGTTTCTGCATACCGGTACCCGACAACACCCAGGTCAGGCACCTGCATCCAACAGGCGAACATGATTTATTTTTACGACGTTACGGCTTCCTATCCCCATATATCGGGAATAGACGTTGCTTTCCTGCTTTCTTCCATTTCGCTTTATTGGTTGCTTGTTTGGCGTTAGCGATCGCCTGCGGCGATTGCACTGGAGTTTTTTTTTTATTTCAGAGAGTCTTCACCAAGGCGAAGACTCGATTTTCAGCCAAGCATACATAGCATTTGCTTACAGGATGGTCTCTTTGGGCGGCGCTTTTGGTTATTCTTATTTCGGGGACGGGTTTTGGATCGGCTTGGACCTTACATGGCATTCTCTTTTGTCCACCAATACATACTAGATGCATACATACAGCAACGGCATATACGGACTTTGCTTTGCTTTATTTGCTCTGGGATGAAGATGTAGTAGAGCATGCTTGGCATATACATACTGCTACTGTCATTAGATTCCAGCACCGATAGATAGACCAATTGTCTTTGTTCACTGGCAGCATAGACCATATGAGCAGTTAATAACAAGTACACTCACGTTATCACATCCACCTTACTACTAATTAGTAATACCATAACAGGCGATAAGAGTAAATACTTCATCAGGATCAAGCGTAAATATCAAAAATTTTCATGTAAAGAATATTAACAGTCATCTAATTATAATCGCTAATGTGGGTGCCCCAACCGCGAATCGCCGGGCCCAGTGTGTGTGTGTGTTCAGTCCATTTCATTACCACCCCCTTTTCTTTCTCTTCTCTTCGGCTTCTCTCTCATCAATCTCATTATGTAGGTACAGTTTGCATTGCCCCATGTTATTTGAACAATAAGTCGCAAGTGGCTCACTCTGGTCCCAGCCCTCCAGCACTTGGTGAGGGGGACCGAATCAGCAGTAATATCTATAGGTTAATAATGAAAGAAAGGACAAAGGGGGGAAGAACAGAATGGGGGGGTGTGGGGGTTAGGGAGGAAGTGAAGTGAAGAAGGAAAAAAGAGAAGAAAAGAAAAGAAACAGTGGCACGCGAGTCATAGTCGTTTGTTCAATTGAAACAGCTGGATGACATGACTCGTGGGCTTGAGAGAAGTGATAAACAATGTGCAATCAAGTAAGGGGTGCTACGGCGCATTGCCGTGCTTTAGGGGACCATGGTCTTCTTTGAGTTTCGATTCTGTAGTGCGTGTAGGTGCCAAAGTCAAACATAAGCATGACAACCGCATGGTTGTCTAATGATACACGGGAAGTGATGGAATAGCCTCGGATCGACCAGCGACGCGGCGTGACCAGTATCGGATCGATCTGGTTCATGTGATGGACACCTTCCGAACGTGTGTGCAACAACATCTTCAATCATCGACATGGTTCGATGGTGCAGAAGGCAGGTTGATCAGAGTCCAGTAAACGGCGAACTAATAAAGTGGCGCCTTGACATCTTGAACGCCTCGTCTGATCACATCCTCAATCTGCCATCTAGGAGGAATGATCTTGGAGTTGCGCTTGCGACGCAACTCTTTCTCCTTCTCCGGAGGGGGCATCGCATCCTCCGGCAGGGCACCACCCGCGATGCCTGTCGAGAATTTGAGCTGCAGGACATTGCCGATTTCGTCGCAAGCCGTCAAGATGCGGTCAAGATCTTCCTTGGTGTGTGCAGCAGAGACGCAAAAGCGGGCCCGAGAAGATACCAGCGGCGTAGCAGGATAACCCACGACAACGACCGAGATTTTCCGCTTCAGCATTTCGTGGGAAAAGGCTGGCATCTTAGCAGGGTTGAAAAGCAGAACAGGTATGATCGGCGAATCATCGTGGCCGTACACTATAAAGCCAAGACGCTTCAAGCCCAGGCGGAGATACCGCGAGTTGAAGGCCAAACGCTGCAGTCGCTCTTCACCCTGACCGGGGATGAGTTCGCCGTTGATGATCCGCAACGCCGACATGATTTGGGCCAAAACTGCCGGAGCAGGAGCCTCGCCATAGAAAACACCGGAGTTGGTCGCTCTAAGCACATCAATCATCGCCTTATCCGCAGCGATGTATCCACCGTTGGCACCAAAAGACTTTGTGAGAGTTCCCATGAGAATGTCAACTTCGCTGGTGTCGATTCCGAAATAGTCACAGACACCACGACCCTTAGGACCAATGGCACCAATGGAATGGGCCTCATCAACGAACAGGTGAAACTTGTAACGCCTCTTCAGCATGACCAGTCCAGGGAGGTTGCACATAGAACCTTCCATGGAATAGAGCCCTTCAACGACAACCAAGATCTTCTTCCACGGCCGATGCGTACGGGGTTGACCCTGGCTGATAGCTTCGCGCAGTTTTGATTCTAGATCCCGCATGTCATTGTGCTTGAACATAGCAATGGAAGCACCCGAAAGACGTGCACCAAACCGAATCGAGGCATGGTTTAGCTCGTCGGAAATGATAAGGCAGCCCTTGTTGACTAAAGCAGGGAAGATGTTCGCGTTGGTGCCAAATCCCATGGAGAAGACCATAGAAGCCTCTTTGCCAACAAACTTGGCGACCAAGTCCTCTACTTCCACATGAAGATCCTGCGATCCCACCTCAGCGCGAGTACTGGGGGAAACGATACCATACTTTCTGATCGAATCCTCAGCAATGTCCGCACAGGGGCCTTCAGATTGAGCAAAACCTAGGTAGTTGTATGAGCTCAGGTTCAAGGTGTCAGTGGTCGTTCCGGTGAAGTAGAAGTGCTTGTTGTGGTCATCCGTGGCCCGATCGATCAGCGTGATATAGCGACCAGGAACTCCAGTAACAGGACGTTCAAAGCAATCGTTAATCCGCAATTTGAGGCGACGCACGTAGAAGTTGTCGAAGTCACTGTTCAGGGCGCCGTATCCATTCTGGGGCTTTAGATGCCGATAGTTCTCTTCGCGGAAGCGCTTTCCGAAGAAGTCTCGCACGTGACCGAAAGCGATTAGGATAAGATAACTGATATAAGTGGTGAGGAGGTAATAATACGGAGGTTCGTCCATCACAGGCTCCGGGAATGTACCACCGGGGTGCTGGCTGGTGTACCTGTGGCTATGGTGGCCGATGGGTCCGAATTGAGCATGTTGCTTAGCCAGGCGACGGGCCTCTTCGGGCGAAGGCGGCTGAAAGAGTGTGGTCGGTGGTTCGTCCATGTTCGGGTTATCTGCAGTGGCAGTGGAGAGAGAAATTGTAGGCAGCGACAAAGAGGCCGAACTGATGGGTGGAGTGGCAGTACTAGAGTTCAGGATTCCACTGGCCGATTGGACAGCGGCCTGCGCAGTCTGAGATTCGGCCTTGGGCTTAGGAGAGGTCGAAAATAGCTGGCTTAGGCGATTAGGTTTGACGGCGGACGCCTTGATGGCGATACCACCCTTTGCGGAGGCGGGAGATGAAGAGGGAGCGTTGGAGGGGTTGTTGACGGAAGAACTCGCAGCGCGACGAGGCATCGCAAGGAAACAGCTAGACAGGAACGAGCAGGGTTGTGCAGCACCGAGGGATGAAGGAACTTCTGCCGCGGCTCTTCAGCAATGAAGTACGGCAAGAACTACCTAATAGGCAACCAGCGAACTTTTGCTTCTAGGCAGCGTGTTCCTTTGATCTGGCCTCCTTTACTCCAGCGCAAGAGGCAATGACAATGATTCGGTGTCACCTACACACGGCGGAGTGAAGTGTCAGTCACCATTTCACCAGGCGAGGAGAGCGATAACAAAATGGCTAAGCGACCGAGGGATTGTAGTCGCAAGCAGAGACAGGGACTCAGATGACAAGAAGCGAAGAGGAGAGGGGTCTAAGGGGGGTGAAAAAAAAGGAAGAGTCTTGTCGATGGACTCCGGAGACTCCGGGGCTGATCGGTCACGTACCTTCGCACGTGGAGGAACAGTAGCTGAGGGCACGGAACCCTTCGACGACGGGATCTGTCGGGACCCCTAAGCCAAAGGGAATCAATCGACCAGATTAACCGTTAGAGAGGCAGGACCTTTCGTAGGATTGAAAGTTGGCGAGGGAAGAAAAGGGTCGGTGCTGGAAAAGAGGTCGGAAAGGGAAGACGAAGAGCCCCGAAGGTCGAATAACGGGAAGAAGACAGATTGGAGTGAGATGAATAATGGAATTTTGTGACGCGAATAAGAGAAAAAAACAGCCTCAAAGGGAATAGTAATGAATAATGCCACCAAACAAGGTACGAGGCTAAGAATCGAAGCGGAGCCCAGGCTTGCGTACGGTAAAGTGAAAGCAATACTGTGTAGGGTTTGGTTGGGGTGAAAAAGCGCAATTTTCGCTGGTGAGATTTTGCAAATGACGATGGAGTTACGGGTGGGAAGTGGAGCCAGCCCCCCCGACCCATCGAAGTCGGTCACAGGGCGGTATTGTTTGCTGGTTATACACCATCCGTGCTCTTTCCGAGTACCTGAGCCATCGGTATTCTGACGGTAAACATACCCGCCGCCCCTGGACCCTTCTGCAAGTTCCACGCTTTGTTTCCATTCGTTGCACGCATGGATTCTATCGAGTATTTTGACTTTCGCTCATCCCAGAAAGGGGCAACGCAAGGTGATGGTCACCAGAGGCACCTTGAAACTGCCATTCATGTCGGTAGTCTGACAGCCTGGATTTCACCGCTAGTTACTCCCAGGGACTTTATTATTCTCTTGCATCAATCGCTTTGCATTCACATACTGCAGGTTGCAGCGTACATATTCCTGCCTCAGGCGAGACCCTGGTCACGGCTCAGGTTTCCGAGCAAAAGACTAGACACAGAACGGGGCTGCTGTTGATTGATATAGTCTAACTTACAATTTCTGAATGTTTATCAATAAATAGGATATACAAATATGTTGAATGATGCCTAGGACATTTATTTCTATACTTAGTAGTTATATCTTCACTGCGTCCCCACCTGATTCCAGGCGTTTGTCTGCCTACCGCGGAAATCCCCTTGCAGATTCCGTCCCCGGCTTCCTTGATTCCGCTCCGGGGTAGATAGATCGGGACACCCACCCTAGCACAACAGCGTAAAAAGGATGTCCTCGTTGCAGTTCGATCCTTTTCCCCATTCACATTTGGAAAGTATCTGCAATTGAACAAGAGCCGTGTGATTAAACCAGGTCTCAAACACTGACGAACCACGAGCCACAAAGGCTTGAACTCTATCAGGACGGAAGGACCTCGGCTCAGTTTGACTGCAACTTTCTTGCACTCCATATCACCGTCTACTGAGTGCACCTATAGTTCGATCAACAAATCCAAAGTCGTCATTGATTGGTGCGAATAAATCACGATCCTTTACGATGACTAGGTCCACCGACGATACAGGTTCCAAGGAACTATGGCGACACTCGAGCCCTTGCAGTACCCAGATCTACGACTTCATACAATCCGCCAATGCCAAGCATAGCCTGTCCATGTCCACTTACAACGATCTCTGGCAGTGGAGTGTATCTGAGCCCGCCAAGTTCTGGGAAGATGTCTGGAAATATACATCTATCCAAGCTCACAAGTCATATGACCGTGTAAGTGGACTGCTGCGCTTTTAAGCTCAACACAAAGGCTTCTACTGGTGCTCGTCTCCTTTGATACTGTGATGGCTAATTCTCATTCCAGGTCCTGCGTTCGGACAAACTGCTTTTCCCTCGTCCCAACTTCTTTGAGGGAACTCGGCTGAATTTCGCTGAGAACCTCTTGTATCCGTCTACGTCTCCTGATGAGAACGCGGTTGCCGTAATCGCTGCCACGGAAGCGGATCGGGAATTTGTGACATGGAAGGAACTGCGTGACCGGGTACGCAGATGTGCGAACTCGCTGAAAGTCTCGGGTCTGCAAGAAGGAGACCGGGTAGCAGGCTTTCTTGGTAATCATACCAACACCGTTGTGGCGATGCTGGCAACGGCATCAATTGGCGCATTCTGGACTGGCGTCTCGCCTGACACTGGCGTACATGCAGTGCTAGAACGTCTGAAGCAAATAGAGCCGAAGATCTTGTTCGCTGACAATGCATCTCTATACAACGGGAAGGTGCACGGAACTGATGCTAAATTGCGTGATATCGTGCCGGGACTGCCGAACCTGGAGCTTCTCGTCATATTCGAGACAATCCAGTCCTACAAACTGGACCCTCAATTTCTGATCCCACTACGTGGAAAGGTTCTCACCTACAATTCATTTCTTTCTACAGCTAGCAATCCTTCCGCCCCTCTGGAATTTGCAAGTCTAGGACCCGAACACCCTGTCTACATATTGTATTCCTCGGGTACCACGGGGGCACCGAAGCCGATTGTCCATGGTGCGCTGGGAACGCTGCTGCAACATAAAAAGGAACATGTGCTTCACTGTGATGTTCGTCCCGGAGACCGCCTGTTCTACTTCACGACGACGACTTGGATGATGTGGCATTGGCTTGTTTCCGGTCTTGCCAGTGGCGCTACCATTGTGCTCTATGACGGTTCCCCTTTTCGGCCATTCGACCCGGAAGGTGGGAAGGGTGAAATGGCAATGCCACGCCTGATCGATGAACTGCAAATAACGCACTTTGGAACTTCTGCCAAATACCTATCCATGTTAGAGCAGGCTTCCCTACATCCAACAAGTCACCCTCACCGTCCAGTAAGCTTGAAAACACTGAAAGCAATTTTCAGTACTGGTTCTCCTCTGGCGCCGTCTACATTCGAGTACGTTTACTCGTCTATCAAGGCTGACCTCATGTTGGGTTCTATCACCGGCGGGACCGATATCTTGTCGCTATTCTGCGGCAGTTGTCCCATCCTACCAGTCTACAAGGGAGAGATTCAATGCCGTTGCTTGGGAATGGCCGTTTCTGTCTACGATTACGCTGGAAATGACGTCTCTACTTCCGGTGAGGCCGGCGATCTGGTGTGTACGAAGCCGTTTCCTGCGCAGCCCGTTATGTTCTGGCCTCCCGGTCCGACTGGGGCGGAGAAATACCGCAAAAGTTACTTCGACGTCTTCGGGCCGACGATCTGGCACCACGGTGATTTCGTGCGTCTGGAACCCCACACTGGGGGTGTAGTAATGCTAGGACGCAGTGACGGAGTTCTGAAGCCAGCCGGCGTTCGGTTCGGTAGCGCAGAGATATACAATGTTCTTCTGAAACATTTTGCAGATGAAGTCGAAGATTCTCTGTGTATCGGACGTCGGCGGGATGGAATTGACACGGATGAAACAGTCGTCCTTTTTGTGAAGCTGGCATCGCAAGGTGACGCTCCAACGACCATGCCGCCCGACCTCGCAACTCGCATTCAAGCGACCATTCGCAAAGAGCTCAGCCCTCGCCATGTCCCTGGAATTGTGGACGTCTGTCCCGAGATACCGGTGACATCCAACGGCAAGAAAGTTGAAAGCGCCGTGAAGCAGATCCTGTGCGGTCTCAACATCAAGATTGGTGCCAGTGTGGCCAATGCCTCGTGCCTTGACTGGTACCGCGCTTGGGCTGCGGCGCACTCATAGTCTCGTAGTATGGTGTTCATTGATAGAAGGTCAGGGAAAAGCCTAGAGTGAACCAGTATGCAATATAATAATCGTTTGTTTTACGGCCTATTGGACTAGATAATGAACTGTTTCGTTTTCCAGTGGCGAGGTCAACGTGTTTCTGCTTTGTCCGCATTACTCAATTGACGATTCTAGATCTCCCATTACTAACCAGGTCCAAGTAAAAAATCATGGTTTTACCTATGACTCAGGGTCTGTAAGAGCCTAATAACAACAAAAACAATTGGGAGGGTAATCACAAGGTATACAATTCCGGAAATCAGTCGGATAATCCATCCTAATTGTCGTCAATACGAAGACATCATATCCTGCTTCCCCAAGTCTGATGTCGTGCACCGTGCCTGTTGTGATTAGATAAGCGATCTGAGTCCAAATCCTTGCGGGCGCCGGCGTGACGACGACATCTCCGGAAACGCCGCAGCTTTTACGCCGTCCGAGAAGGGAGCAATTTTGAATTGAGTACTCTCGGCCCATTTCATTCATTTACATTCGTCAATATGCGCCGTTCTGTACTACGGGCCGTTGAGTCCGCAAAGCCACTTGCCCGCGTGCCTCGTTCCGCGTCTAGAGGTTTTGCTACTGTCAATGAGAATGGTTCCAAGGTAAGTTCATCCAATGCAGGAAATTAGGCTTGACGGTCATGGTCGGACTTGGAACTAACTATTACCTCTTTGTCGCTCGCTGTGTAGGACCCTGCCGAGCTAGATCAGATCACCACTCTGCCCAACGGTATCCGCGTTGCTACGGAATCCCTGCCTGGGCCCTTCTCTGGTGTTGGAGTTTACGTCGATGCCGGATCTCGCTATGAAGATGAGAGTTTGCGGGGTGTAAGCCACATTATGGATCGTCTGGCTTTCAAGTCGACCAAGTCGCACACCAGTGATGAAATGCTAGAGGTTTTGGAGAGTCTTGGAGGAAATATCCAGTGTGCTTCTTCTCGTGAATCCTTGATGTACCAGTCCGCTAGTTTCAACTCCGCTGTCCCGACCACCCTGGGACTGTTGGCTGAGACTATCCGGGATCCTCTTATCACAGAAGAAGAAGTTCTTCAGCAGTTGGCTACGGCTGAGTATGAGATTGGAGAGATCTGGTCCAAGCCTGAGCTCATCTTGCCCGAGCTGGTACATACCGCGGCCTACAAGGACAACACATTGGGAAACCCTCTGCTTTGCCCACATGAGAGGCTGGGAGAGATCAACAAAGCGGTGGTTGATAAATACCGTGAAACCTTCTTCAACCCAGAGCGCATGGTTGTCGCTTTTGCTGGTGTGCCGCACGCTGAGGCCGTCAAGCTTACAGAGCAGTACTTTGGTGATATGAAGACACACAAGAAGACAGACGGCCCTGTGCTTTCGGGAACGGGTATCGACACTACACTGTCTGAATCCAAGTCGGCCGCTGAGGAGGGCCAGGTACCCACTGTTCCCCAGTTCACTCCGTCATCTACCACAACTACCACCGCAGCCTCTCCTAAGTCGGGATTCCTTTCCAAGCTTCCCTTTTTGAAGAATCTCTCCAACTCTGGCTCGCAAAATTCCGCCGCGTCGCCGCTTGACCCATCATTGGTGCAGTCGTCGAACTTAGATCTCACCCGTCCTTCCCACTACACCGGTGGTTTCCTCTCTCTTCCTCCGATCCCTCCTCCTGCGAACCCTATGCTTCCTCGGCTGAGCCATATCCACCTTGCCTTTGAGGCGCTTCCGATCTCGAACCCCGATATCTATGCCCTGGCAACCCTCCAGACCCTTCTCGGAGGTGGCGGTTCCTTCTCTGCTGGTGGTCCTGGTAAGGGAATGTATTCGCGTCTCTACACCAATGTGCTGAACCAGCACGGATGGGTCGAGAGCTGTATTGCGTTCAACCACAGCTACACAGATAGCGGGATCTTCGGTATCTCCGCATCTTGCAGCCCGACACGGACCACCGAGATGTTGGAGGTCATGTGCCGCGAATTCCAGGCCCTCACTCTCGACACGGGGTACCAAGCCCTGCAGCCGCAGGAGGTTAACCGTGCAAAGAACCAGCTTCGCTCTTCGCTCCTTATGAACCTGGAGTCGCGTATGGTGGAATTGGAAGATCTCGGACGTCAGGTCCAGGTGCACGGCCGCAAGGTTGGTGTCAAGGAAATGTGCGCGCACATTGAGTCTTTGACTGTGGAGGACTTGCGCCGGGTTGCCCGGCAAGTCTTTGGTGGTCTTGTCGAGAACAAAGGACGTGGCACCGGCAGGCCTACCGTTGTGTTGCAGGAGGGAGAGTTGGAGGGTTACAGGCTCCGTCCTTTCCCTTGGGAGGAGATCCAAGAACGGATTGCCCGGTGGAAGCTGGGAAGGAGGTAATTTGCCATACAGTATAAGCCCCGGGCATCGCAGCGACCTACCTGTGCTGTTTACGGGGTGTAGAGGGATGTAACACTTCCATTTTCTTCACTCCATGTAATTAGAGATAGCCATATACAATCATGTACAATATATATAGCCCGAATAAGCCCTTTTTCACCGGAACAATTGAACGTATAAATTGGGGGCGTCGCGTGGATGCATCGGGTGCAGTCGAAGCTCCTTACCGTATTGAGTTCGTTTCCGCCCGGGAAAAAAGTTGGATCCGGAAGGTCGAATCCGCCATCCTCCATCAGTCTCCGTCCGTCCTCAACACTTTCAGTCCATCACCTCGACCCTCGCCCGTGCTTCCTGCGACCCATTCTCCTATCAATACACCTCTTTAATTCCCTTTTATTCAACCACCGTCACAATGGTCAAGCTTACCGAAGTCGAGGATGAGCACTTCTCCCAGGAGAAGCCCATGCCCAGCAAGCACAATGTCCTTCTGACCTCGGACGACGAAGAGGAAGACGACTACACTGACACCGGTTAGTATCCTGATGACCCATAATCAAAGGCACAATTCAACCGGGCGCTCGTTTTGCATGAGCAATTGCATTTTCATTCTTATCCTCCGCGCAACAACATCCGGAAGCATTATCCATCCACGCCGAACCTGATCCATCTATTCATCCATTCATCGGCGCAGCCGTTCAAAACACATGGCCTTCATTTTCTAACCTGCCATACGTACAGAGTCCGAAATCTCCGTCGAGTCTGATCTTGAGGTTGATGGCGAGACCTTCTACGACCGTCTCTATGCCCTGAAAGACATTGTTCCTCCTTCCACACGCCGCTCGGTCACCAGCACCGTCGAGTCCATCACTTCCTTCACAAAGTCCAGCATCCAATTCAGCGGCAAGGCGCTGTGGATCATCAGCACCAGTGCCTTCCTCCTTGGTGTCCCGTGGGCTCTGGCCTACGCCGAAGAGGAGCAGTACATCCAGATGGAGCGCGAGCAGGGCATGATCAAGGGCGCCAACGAGGTACGTTACAGCCATGTTCAATTCCCATTTTCATATTCGTCGGGCTATCTACTTGTCGCTTGGCTATTACTGTATTGTTACTGTCATGCGGCCTTGTCCGGGGCAGTTGGCGATGACGTGAAAACTCTTTTCCGTTCTTATTATGTGCCAAGAACAGAGATACAGACGTCATTCGGATTGCCCGCACATGTTTCGATGGTCTGCAAAAACTCCGAGCAGCTGCTAATTACATTGTTTTCTATCATTAGATGCTTACGCCCGGCGCCCCCGGTGAAGAGAAGCCCGCTCAACCCTCTTTGTAAATGAATACCGCTGCCAAAGATGAAGATCGCAACAGGCGGGAATAGTTGATTTGCGATGGCCTGTCGAACCGCCACTACCTCAATATCGAGCCTGTCCGAAGCCACCTGTTGTCGTAAGGCCTATGGTTTCTTATTGAATGTCGTCGGTCTTCCTGGAGCATAATGTCGACTTCCAGGCGATGACGTTCATTGATGAGGTCACTGCACGAATCTAGTCGATTTCTCTGTTCCAACAAAAAAATTACGAGCCAGACAGATTTGATTTAGCGATGCATGATCCGGATTACATTGGGTTAAAAGCAGGTGTGTACTATCGAGGATGGATAATTGCGAACATATTCAACTCATTGATTTGAGTTGACGCGAGGAAGATATAAAAGGGATGGTATGGTTTCCATATGGACATGAAAGAAAATCTTGCCCACCTGTTACTGTTCGGAATCTCTGGCCCTGTGAACTTGACGCTTTTTCTCCTCTCTCAACCTTTGATTCCAGAACTTCTGGCTTGGGCGATGTGTGTATTTCTATACTGGTTTATTTTCCCCTGGTTACAATGTTCGTTTCGTTTTATGTCTATTTCCACCATTTTGGAACTCATGTTTCTAGATAATGAAATGTGAATGATCTTGAGATATATTCAGGACGGAACTCTCATGAGCCGAGTACATTTTCTCCTTGCGCTAGAAGGAAACAGGCCGAAAATAAAATAGCAGAAATAGGGTATCACAGCATGAAAGATATAGGTACAAGCCCCCTAACCGAGGGGGCAAATGGATATGGACAAGAAGAATGGTGTAAAGGCGCGCATCCGAAGAAAGTGATGCTGACCAGGTGAAGAACTAACCACCCCAGACTGAGTACATAACGTCGTCCCGACAGCACCCGTATATGGATCAAATATGTGCAAACGAACACATCTAGAAGCTTGCACTATACTATCCAAGAGTCTATGATATGATATGGTCAGCAAATGCTCTCAGCTGCCGAATCGATCTTGGAGCTCCAGATCAAAAACATACCGTGGTTTCTCTTGCAGTCCGTAGATTAATGTGAAAATCGCGCCACAATTTCTTGACTTCACCATTCGCTATCATTGATTTGACTGCTTTCACGGCGTACTTGGTTTTCTTCTTCGTGCTCCAGTGGCTGCGTTCCACGATTCTCGTCTCGGATAGGTATCCCCGGTGTTCGAGGTAGCCGGTCACCCATTCGTTGAGGTGGAAGCGCCAGTGGGTTAGGGTGTGAGCTAGAGTTGCTTTGTTTTTGCAGTGGCTGTTGGTTGGTAGCATGCCTCATTAGCTATATGGAGACTTTTTGTTCGGTAGAAGGGATGGGCGAGATGCTTACCGTCCGAGGAAGAAGCGCGTGTTTTCGTCTGGTAGGATGTGGCCGTCTCGGTCTCTTTCTTCGTGGTCATCATCTTCGTGTTCCTCTTCTTCGTCCTCGTCGCTGTCTTCGTCGGTAAGCGGTTCAAGGGTTTTCAGTGAATAGGCTTTCCCGTATAGTTTGATGTCGAATGAAGCTGGATGACCTGAGCGGTTGCAAGCATCGCATGAATGGTTCTCTATTGTCGGAAAGGTTGTGATCTCGATCTGAGGCCGGGCTAAGAGGGCTCTCCGGAACTTGGCATTCCAAACTGATGAGACGAGCTGTGATCCAGTACGGCCCTTGACTTCGTCTTCGAGTTTGCTGAAGGCGACTTCGTAGACTGGGTCGGAGCGAGGGAATGCCGGGTTGAGCTGATTGTGCACCATCCATTCTACTGCATCTTGGAAGTAGTCCTTGAGTTGCTTGTAAGCATGTCGGGAGAATTCGATGGGGATGTCTTCTAGGCCCGTGGGAGCCCCTAGGGTATCATCATCGTCTTCCAACACGAAGTCGTCTTCGTAGCGGTCCAGATCATCATTGCTTGCGATCGCAGATTCAACATCACTTTCTTCTAGTCGAGTACGGAATTGGGGCTTCCGTTTCGGGCTCTCTTCATGAGTCTCGGCTTCGTCCTTTTGTTCACTTCCGCTGTCACCGTCACCGTCACTGTCACCTTCGCTGTCGCCGTCGCCCGACTCCAACTGCTCAACATCACTCTCAGGGTTCTCAGTATCGGATGCTGTCTTTCCTGCCCTCCGACGACGTAAGGCTTCCAGGTGTTGTTGTCTCTGAGCCCGTGCCGAGTTGGCCAGTCGCCCCCGAGTTCGGGTATCTTTTACCACTGTAGATAGACATGTCAGTCCGACAGAGCATTGCAGACTGCCTGACACGTTACTTATGTGGGCTTACCTGAGTCCTGCAACGCCTGAAGGTCTTCTTCTATATCTAATTCGTCCTGTTCCAGCCCGCGACGCGGCGTCTTGGGGACGTCGGGGCTTGCGTTGCGCATCCTGCGCTTCTTAGGAGAGATGACCAACTCTTCTTCCGAACCGTTATCGTCATCCACGGTAGCAGGCTGAGGGGCCACACCACGCCTCAGTTTCCTGCGAGACGCTGGAACAACCTCATCTGCATCGCTCTCTGAATCGGCAGCGGGTTTCTGCGGGGTCGCGGAAGGAGATTCGGAACTGGATACATCTGTCCTCTTGCGCTTTAGTGGTCCTCTTTGCGGGTTTTTGCGCGTGCTGCGCACGATCTCTATATCGCTATCACTGTCGCTAACTGGTTCTGCTTTGGGTTCCGGGGTACGTTGGGGCGTTGATTTTGCTGTCGGCATCCCACTAAGTCAGTATTTATTATCATGCAGTAGCTGTGGTATAATCTCACCTTCAGGCTGAGAGCGTCCTCGTCGGAGGACTGGCATGGAAGGATGCGCATAGCGCAAGTTTGCGCGGCGATCTTTCTCGTCGTCGGAGTCGTCCTCTCTCTTCGGCGAGGAGCTCAACGGAGCAAAAGCCAGCCGCGTCTGCTTTTTCTTGCCGTATGTGCGGGGCATCGGGGGTTGCGCAGGGATCGGCTATGTATGATAGTAAATAGCGCTGGGTGGAGTCAGAGTATAAAATGAAGATCTTGCGCTGATTGTAGAAATAGTGACCAAGTCGAAGGAGTGAATAGAGATTATCATAGGATCTGAAGTCTTCGCTGAGCGCGCAAGAGTCGCGTCTCGGTGTCACGAGAGCACGTGATAGCTAATAGCTACCCAGAAAGGTCAGTCGCACTCGTGAAGTATAGAAGTCATTGCTGCATCGCAGATTGATTCTGATTGTTTCTCATGTTCTACTATCTTTCATTGTGGACGCTGTTTATCACCTTTAAATTTATTTACTTACGCTTCACATGATTTGTCAGTCTGAAACCACGCCAGCATGCCTACAGATAGTTGAAAACGAGATGAAATGAGCTTTTTGACGGGCGTTAGACTAGATTGTAGTCCTCCAGGAGCTGCTCGATCCTTCATCACTAGCATGCCATTCTGCTTTCATTTGAATCAATGTGACTTGTCAACGCTATCGTAGACTTTACAGTGAGGTGTAGGCGAACAATGCATAGCTTAAGATCAGCCAAGATAATGTGAAACTGCCAGGCTTCTCTCTTGCCTATACGGGACATGCAACAATCAATTTTGTTCTCTATCGTGGGCTGCGGCTTCCTGAATATAGTAGAACTGTCATGCTCAGAATGTGACTTCTTGCATCCCACGCACCACTCAGAAAGCTCTAGATATAGTATGCTCATCATATTGGTTTGATTGATTGAATCCCCATCCACAGCATTTTAGCAGGCAGATTCTTGCATAAGACTGTATATTATCCACTCACTCTATTTCTCATTCCATGCATTGTCAGCAGCGCCTTCTTGCACTTTTCTATGCAGTATTGGGGGTTATCTCCAATATTACTCAAGATGACTCTCTGCCGACACCATACCGAACAACAGGTGGTGACCACCAAACTTCATGCTCAGGCTCCTTACTGGGTGACCCGGGGTTTGTCACAATAGTCCCATTCAAAGGTCCAGAGGGGCCAGGATGTGCAGTATCCTTGACTTGTCAGGAGGGATGGGAGACCGTGCGAAGAGGCTACAAAGAGAACGAAAACATAGTTGGCTGTTCTCATACTCCAAATGCAGTTGAACCGACATTCATGCTCACCCTGGCGATAACGAACTTTGGGGGACGACCAACAGGTGTGCATCACTGCGAGACTATCTTAGAGCAGCTCGTGCTCGAAAGTCACGAGGATAACCTACATCATCAGGTCGCCTCTGTCCGGTCGTTGGCTCCCCTTCAACATAAGGCTGCCTCACAAGAACATATTACGGGGAGATGGCCACGTCAAGACATGCCACGGAATGAAACTGGCACGAATGGAGTCAGGAAGACCCCACCATCAAACCCTCTGACGCAAGGTTACCACGGAATCCTGAAATATATAATATCGAAACTGGAGAATACTAGCAAGAGCAGCCGTAAGAAGAGGGAGATTGTGTCCGATATTTCTCCTGACATTAGGTTGGGGCGACACTCTGTTCAGAGGGACCTATACAGCCTTGGTGGGCCGACTTGCGAGGAAACCATTTGTGAGGGAAGCGATTGGAGGACAATATGCATTTCGGATCACATCCCAGACAACAAGAAGGATCAATGCATCATGTGCTATCCTCGAAAGCATATGGCGCTTGTACACGGCTATTGTCAAGAACAGAAGTATAGGGAACTGGACGTATTCCACAAGGCATGCGCCCTCCTGGGTGCATCGATCCTCGCGGCGACGCTTTTGTACCTGCTGCGTGAAATCTATAGGCGACTTCGGATGCGATACCAATTTCTCCAGGACATATGTGGCCGCAGTCAGCTCTCGGGAAGTACTACTACGAAGACTGGACTTTCGTCTATGCACCCTATTGGCGCATTGGCGTCTTTGATCCCTGGGGTTCCTAAAGCGTGGAAAGACCCACAAGGTGTATACACTGGCACTGTCGATGGGGCCATTACCCCTACAGCCTATAATACGGTGACCCGTCAAAAGTTCCGGCGATTTGGGCCCTTCATGAAAGATCACCGTAAGAGAGTACAAGACATCTTCGACCTCGAAGATTATCATGAGCCGCAGGTGGGCAATAGAGTCCCGGTGCTCCCTCGAGCTCACAATGCAAGCATACGAAGACATGCTGCTAATTCGAACTCTCGCACGCATTCTCATACCAAAGGGGACACAGATTCTGATCCAATAGTGGCGAAGGGCACCCTTTCCTCACGAGCCACTTCTCAGCAGAGCTATTTTAACTGAAGTTCGTGACCGAGTTATACGGTTTTAGAAATTATAAATGTTACCAGGAAAATGTACGTGCTAGTCACTGCGGAGTATGATAGTATGAATACATTGCATGAGATGGCATTGTGCTACACAATGATGACTGGTCTAGCCCTATGCCATAAGTGGTGCCTGCTTCTCAACCCTCCCTGAGCGGCCGCAATCTAACACTAGACCAGGCGACACAGGGACACTAGTTTCTCCGTTAAAGTACTTTAGATAAGCTATTGTGAGTTACGCTAAGACCAATTCCACATGTTCGTATCCGGGGTCATTTGCGTTGTCGCGAGTCATCCATTGAGCAGCCCGGCATTTCTTTGGCATGTCTCTGCCACGAACCGTTGGTTTGGGAGGATGAGTCCTAAGGAGCCATGAATTAAAAGCGTGCGGAAGAAAAGAGCCTGACAGGAATACGAGAGCTGGCTTGGGATGGATCATCGGGCGAGATTGATTTCAGGGGGATCCAAGGCCTTGTCTCGTGACCCCAGCCCGTCGCCATCGAGTTGCCCCCCAACTTGTTTCTTCGCTCCGTCTCCTCCTCTCCACTCCTCCCCGCCTCCCTCCAATTGTCCCTTGGCCTCCATGTGAATCATCCAGGAGCTTAGACACTGGTCCTATCATTACCCCTGTTTCATTCCATTGGTGGACCCTCTTTAGCCATCCTTCCAGCCTTCGCGCTGCTGATTCGTGGAAAGTCCAGTGGATATCTACCGCGTCTGGCTCAGAATTTCCTCGAATCTCGACCCCGGATTTCTCCACATTACGACCACCCCAACAATGGCATGTTCTGGGGGAGTCTGGGGATGGCACTCAAAGCTTTCCCCGTGTGGCCCACCCCGGATACCCCACCACCGACAAAATCCTGGAGTCGAATGGTCGAATGCCGTGCCCTACTCACTTTCTGATCCTTGGATGCTAGGACCTCTGATAGCCCAGCTCCCCAGGAATGCCTCCGCGTTAGCGTCCACACCAGTCCTGGAACCGGTGCTATAGCGCCCTATGGCTTGATATAGCGCTTGCCACCTGGCTGCTGGCACGCGGCATGGTAGCTTATCTAGCTGCATGGCCGGCGCGCCTCTACCAGGTCGGATATATATACCTAGGGCCGCAGGACGCAGTCCTTTCCCACCTTTTTTCTTTTTGTACATAAACCAACCCCCCCTTGTTCTTCTTGGATAGCCTTGACTAGACGGTGCAGCTGTATAGGCTGCTGACCACCCACCTGGGAACCACCTCTATTTGCTATCAAGGCGTATTCAGGTCGCTTACGGCCTATATTGCCACAATGTTTGATTACGATTTCGAAGTCAATCCTTTCAAATCGAAACGAGCCTACAACTGGTACGCATGCCACGCTGGCCTTTAGAAAGGGTCACTATACTAACAATCTGTTAGGTTCATCTCCCTCGTCGCAGCAGCATGCATGGTCTTATACGGCTATGATGCGTCCGTCTATAATTCCGTTCAAGGCTCGGACAACTGGGTTGCCTACTTCAATGACCCTGACGAGAATATGATCGGAGGTGTCAACACGGCCTACACCGTGGGTGCAATTGTCGGCGGTTTCTTCATGGGTGGTCCCATAGCCGACTTTCTGGGTCGCAAGATTGGAATGGCGACCGGGTGCATCTTGGTCATCGCTGCTACATTTATGCAGTGCTTTGCGCCTCGTGGCAACATTGCATGCTTCCTTGCCGGACGGTGTATCATTGGTATTGGCCAGGGTATTGCACTGAGTAAGTCTGCCATCGGTCTTTTTGGCTCAAAGTTCTTACTAACGCTTTATTGATCAGCTGCGGGTCCCATCTATATCGGTGAACTAGCACCTCCGGAGATTCGTGGAAAGATCATGACCTTTTGGCAAATGTTCTACTCCGTTGGCTCCTTCATCTGCTTCTGGGTGAACTACGCGTGCACCAAGCACTCCACACACTTGGGCGAGTGGGATTGGAGAATGGTTGTCATCTTCCAACTCTTGGTGCCCGTGATCATTCTTTTCATCTTACCTACCATTCCCGGTTCGCCGCGATGGTAAGTGCTATCGTGAACCCGCGTTATGTACTCCTCTTAACCTCTGCACAGGTACATCCAACGTGGCAACAACGTCGAAAAGGCCCGCAGGGCGCTGCGCAGAGTCCGAGCAACCGAAGACGAGGTTGAAGACGAGCTGCTCAGAATCCGCGAGGCCATCGAGTATGAAAAGGAAGCCATTTCTGGCAGTTACGCTGCGCTGTGGAAGGATAAGTCCCTCCGCAAGCGCATGTACCTAGCTCTTGTCATCAACGCTGGACAGCAAGTCAGTGGACAGGGCACCCTCAACACGTACTCGACGAAGATCTACGAGAAAGTTTTCAAAAGTGCTAACCAGATTGCTCTCATCAATGCTCTCAATGCCACCTTTGGTATCATTTTCACTCTGAACGCCATCTGGATCATCGATCGGTTCGGACGCAAGTTCCTTCTGATCGTTGGTGGTATCGGTATGGGCATTTGCATGATTATCGTTGCGGCTGTAGAGACAGAAACACCATCACCAGGTGGAGCAAAGACAGAACCAGTCGGCATATCGATCGTGTTCTTACTTTTCTTATTCATCTTCTTCTGTGAGTTTCACCGACAAACGTCTTTGAATCCCTTACTAATCAGATCTTAATAGACAAACCCTCCTGGGGCGCTACCATTTGGATTTGGACATCCGAGGTGTTCTCAATGAACGTCCGCGCCCAAGCCGTGGGTATGGCAACCCAGACCCAGAACGTGGCCAACGCCATCGTGCAGCAATTCTTCCCGACCTTCCTCAACAACTGCGGCTTTTACGCCTTCTACATGTTCGCAGGCATCTGCTTCCTCCTCGCTCTATTCGTGTTCTTCTTCATCCCTGAGACCAAGCAAGTGCCGCTGGAGGAAATTGATGCCCTCTTCGGCGGAGCCAACCACGTCACGCAGGGTGAAGACCTCTTCTCTGGCGAGAAGCAAATGCGCGTGACGCACCAGGATACGGGGTTGGAGAAGCCTACTGCTGTCACAGTTGAGGATGCACGACGTTGATGGACCTAAGTGTTGTCTAAATTATGATAATGATGTAAGCCATGTGGCATTGGTGGACTCGTGAACAATTCAAACTATATACCATCCATCCGCCCTTCACATAGTATATTAAGCACCAAACTCCACCCCCATCCCTAGTAGTAGAAAGCAATATATACATATAATATGTATGTATGTAAGGAAATAAAGGACATCACCGCCTATAAACTGTCCTCGTAACCAACCCCCCACCCCCACCCTCAACACCATCACCACCAACCACATTCTCCCTAATAACACACTCCCACTCCAAAATCGACACCCCCTCCATCCGAAACACATACTCATACTTCGGATCCCTCTCTTTCTCCCGATCCATCGGTATCGCCCCCGCCGCAGCCCGAACCACATACCTTGATTCCTCTATTCCCTCATCGTCACCATCAACAGGGGTCGTTACTTTCTCCGCCAACCCCACAAACATCCCATGCGAGAACTTCCCCGCGTGGAAAGGATCAATGTCCACGTTCCAAATGAGGATTTGGCCGTTCTTCTTGCTCCAGGTTCCTTCTGTGAGACGGTATATGTAGCGTTTTCTGGTCGATTTATCCCCATCATCGACAATAGTATTATGGTTATTCTCGGTGTTGGTATCGTTGTTGGTGTAAAGTTCTTCATATACATACTCCTTCTCGTACCAGATACTAGATGTACGACGAGGATGGAAGGTAGCTGTTCCTGAGATTTGCGAGAGTTGGGATGAGCGGGTCGGTGTTGGGAGAGATGTTGACGGTGACGGTGAGGGTAAGATGTGAGTGACTGTGCGAGTGTAGGTCCATTGTCCATGGAGGGCGCGGAAGATGGCCATTCCCATGCCTAGGTTGTAGTTTGTCGGGCTGGGGGTGATGGTTCGTTGGAGGGATTTGAGGGTGTTGGTGCTTTCGCGGTCGATGAGGGTGGAGAGGCGGTCTGATGGGGTTGGGGTGAGGAAGGGGGTGGGGATGTAGCGGGAGGGGAGGACGGGGCCGTGGTTGGTTTTGTCATGGCTTTGGGTATGGGGTTGAGCAGTGGTGGGGATAGGGGCTCGAGGGATGTTGAGCTCGCGGGCTAGGGTCTCCATGAGACCTACGTAGTCGCCCATTGGGAATTGGCTGCGGGGGAGGGTTGTAGTGCGGAGAGTGCGAAGGAGGTCGCGTTCGTTGGTCTTTTGAGTGAGTTCTTCGTTGGTGAAGTAGGGGCCTGTGAAGGAGAGGTCTTTGACCCATGTGTTTGCGAGACTGCGGGCTTGCATTTCCATTGCGCCCCAGTAGGGTCCGCGGTAGAAGCCGACGAAGCCGAGGTCGGGGATTTCGGCGTGTGAGGTGCCTTTGCCGTCCAGGATGAGGGGGATGAAGGGGTCGACTGGTGGAGTATTCGAGGGTGGAGAGGATGGGAGAGGGGAGGAAGCTGAGGGATGAGAAGGGGGTGTAGCCGGTGGCTGTTATTATGGCGGTGATGTCGGATATGGTTTCTTGGGTGCCGTTGGGTAAAGTGACGGTGAGTGTTGATGGGCTGTTGATGCTGGATACTCGGCCGATGGTGGGCTTGATGAAGCCCGAGCGGACGTATTCGGCATAGTCGTCTCCTATGCCGATCCATGATGGCTGCGAATCTTCGCTCTCGTTGTTGCCGATTCCAAAGCTGCCGATTTTTACGTACTCGGCGCCGAGGAGGGAGCGGAAGTATTCATTTGTTTTGCGTATGCGTTCTGTGGAGAGCGGTCCGAGTCCGTATTCGACTGGGCCGGGAGGGCGTCGGGCAAGATCGTAGAAGACGAGGTCAAGGGGTAGGAATTGCATGTTCTGCGTCTTGGTATTATCCTGGAAGCCATCGTGGGGAAGGTGGGTGGGTATTGTCCAGAAGGGCCTCGAGGATATGTGATGGACTTCATAGTCACGTCCGGATTGTATCACTGGGGGCTTGTAATCCATCGTAGATAGATGAAGCGCCACTGTCGAAGCAGCTTCTACTCCGGACATACTGCCCCCAATAACGACCAGCTTGCCACCCGAGGACCCAGTCCTCTCCAGCAGCTGCTGCACATCGTCTATAGTCTGCACTTCAGAGCTGTGGACAACCCTATCAGCGACCCCAGCCAAACCAGGTATATCGGGGAAGTGAGCTTTGGCAAAGTATCCAGACGTGACCACCAGATAGTCGAACTCCTCCGATTCCATCTCAGGCCCGTTGCACTCAATGCCATTTGCATCTATGCTGTGAGCCAATTAGCCAGCCCCGTGGACGGTATCCAGCATCACCTGGACGATAAATAGATAAAGACACACCTTCTCGAAGTCCACTGCACCGTCCACCTAGCCCTCAACCCATCCGTCTCACGAACCGTCTTCACAACCTCCTTACCCAGCCTCAAGACCCCCTTGGGAATATACAAATTCGTATATTTCTCCAAATACTGCCCCACCTGTCTCGCCTGCGGGAACATCGACAGCTCCCCCTCCCCAATCACAGATTCCCACGCCAAATCCGAGAAAGCCACCGTGAACCGACTCAAGTTCGTCCGTATCCACGGGTTGAGCCGTCTCTCAGCACCATGGTCAACCGCTGTGGGCCAGAGACCCCCAATTCGGCTGTTTTTCTCGAATACACTGGGAATGAAGGTGCCCTCGGGGAAGCTGTGCAGGAGGGTTTTGGCTGTTACTAGTCCCGAGGGGCCGGCGCCTGTGCTGGTTTGTTAGATGGGGGGATCTTGGATTGTAAGGTGAGGGGTTACTTGCCGATTATGGCGACTTTCTTTGGTTGGACCATTATATATACAGCTGGATGTCTTGGTCCGGAGACTTGGTGGTGAGAGTTGGAGAAATGGTGGAGTTGTTGTTGAGCTGGGCGGTTAGATGTTCTCTTTCTTCCCCTCAGCTGCTTCGCTAGTTTACCCCTCATCCATCACCGCGCGGCTAAAGAATGAACCCCTGTTCGTTAGCCTTGCAGGGACATGGAGGCGCAATTGCAGTTGCTGGTAGTATTTATTAGGTTGGATTGCGTGGCAGTGGATTGTGGGTTGGTTCGTTGGTTATAGAGCTGATATATATAGTATGTATATTCTTGCGACATGATGCTCACAGGTGCGCACACCACTAGTTTACGACTAAATGTATGCCCATGCAGTAGTGGAGGCATCATTAGATTAGTGGCAGACATTCATTGCCTGACAGAGCCTCACTGTCGCAAGCTCCGTACTATTTTAATTTCAGACACCTGTCAAGGATGACAACCAAGAAGTACTATTATAACATTCTAGCAACAAACGAAAGGACACCTCTAAAAAGCACACCATCGCTCCAGGCACCATGCTATACAGACGAATCGAGTTATAATAGGTGGAAGCAACCGATGGATCAACCATCCATTAAGCCGTAGATCTGCAAAAAGGGGCCCTTAAGCAGAGAGAGCTCTTAAGCAAAAAAGAATTGACCATCGTCATCATCATGATGAGGATAGTCAATAATGAAAAACAAAAAGTGAAACGGCCCGAGCCGCGGATCGAACGCGGGACCTCTCGCAGATATGCTTGGGTTTGTATCCCTAAGCGAGAATCATACCACTAGACCACCCGGGCGTTACTTGTTGAAACACGGTTTCTTAATTTGCTTTACAAGAGGAAGCAAAGCGTACGCTGCCCCATGTCCAAGTGTCTTGCCTCTAGCGCCGACACCTGCATGCATGGCTGCGCCATCGAGTGGATCAACCGTTATGCCAAGCACAAACCCTCATGGCGAGTGAACAACAAATTCCAAATGTATCGGTCGGCCAGAGTGCTGAGGCAGAGAACTGAACAACTGGTACACGAGCTTGATCCCTTGAAACTGATATCGAACGTATTCATTCGGGATGTGAGAAGAAGCGGGAAGGTCAGTGCGCAAGGAAGTGTCGGTGTTCGATGATATTCCCCGCAGAAGGAGGCACCGGAGGAGGTACGTAAGGATAGCGCGTCTCAGTAGGACAGTCGCTCCAGCCATGCAGAGATCTGCAACTCTCTGCTATGTTTGTCGGGATAACAAGCATCGGTGAACAGCTGCTCCGTGACCAGAGCATCGACATTCCTCTCAGTCAAGGGGATCTTGTATCTGTTCTTTTGTCTAAGAAGTTCTCTCTCAGCGCGTGCAGACGGCGATAGTTTTTGAAGCGTACTGCGAAGGCGTCGCATGCCCCGGCCTGGAAAATGTGGGATTCGGGGCGGTCCGAAGGGCGTGTCGACCTTCCATGGGTCCTCGGAGACGAGGGACCGGGCGTTCTTCTTTCGCTGCAAGGAACGAAACTTGTTGGACATGGTAAGATTTCAAAGCCGCCGAAGGGTGATAATGTTGGTGCCATCAAATGACGAGTGGTGCGTGGGTGTGCAAGACGGCGGGGGGGTGGGAAGGGGAGAGAGGCTGTGGCATAATGAGGGAATATATAGTTTGCAGCCCTACTAACTACTATCAAGGGCCCACGGGAAAGGGTCACCGGGGCAGACGTGGATAGCGCGGCACTGCAGTGCGGGGGCATCCGTGGAGTGCACTAACTCGCACTAGCCTGAGCCTGTCTGAACGTGAATGAGGGCTGCCTTTTTTCTTTTCTTTCCGCCTCGACGGTACTAGTACTCGGACAGGATTTCGCAAGGAATCCGGGAGAGCGCCACTGCACTGATCTGCAACTCAGGCAGATTGCAAATCAGTCCGAATCGAATCTCGTACGGTCGTGATACTCTACCCAAGTTTCTTTGCGAACGACACCGCCAAAAGAAAGAGAAACCCAAAAAGTTAGTCCGAGCAACGTCATTAGAAACTTGGCTAGTTTGCACCCGACCCAGTACTATTCTACCCAAAGTGGATGGTGGTGGATCTGCCACTTGTAGATCTTCTCCCCCAAACCCAAGCACATCCACAGAGTTAAGGGTTAATCTGCATTGCCTTTCATCTTGGCCATAGAGGCTGTGCGAACATTCCTACTACGTGTATGAGCCCCCCCCCAAAAAAGAAAAGCAGTGCCTATCCATGAAATGTGCCGTACCTACACTAGCTGCTTCACTTCTTTTTCATGTATCATGCCCTGCACATAATATTCCGCTGTCATTGACTGCCTCACCGATTAATGTTGATGGGTACTCTTGCCACAGTCTCCCACATCCCCGCCCCTTTACCCCTAGATACTACTCCGCACCAGCAATCCTTCAGGATTCATGCATGTCTTGGGGCTTGGCAGAAAGCGAGTATGCTTGAACTACATCGCCTCCAAATGCTTGTGTAGTGGAACGGGTGCCCTCCAAGAAAGTGGGGTGGGAAGAGGCTCGTCCGTTTGACAGAAGCGAAAGCTTCAATGGAATTCCGCGGAGTATCTATTCCCCTTTTCTTTTTACCAGAAAGTTAGTAGTTGCTGTGGTGTGGACGACATCCCAGGCTCAAAAAAGCAAACACAGACATTCTTCAATCATCTTCATCACACCAATCGCCTCACCTGGCCGAATTCCTCTCTGCACAACCACTACATTCCACTAACCCCCCGACAGCTGAAAGAGAATTAAATCAAAGTGATAGAATGGAACCCGCCTAGAAGCACCAAAGAAGCCGGATTCTTAAGTTGCGTGCGGGGTAACCACTTAATACCGATAGCCGCGTCTAGACACAATACTATTACACGCATCTGTCCAGTTTGGGAAAGGCCGAGAAATCACCGTACCTAAAATATTTCTTTGTCAGTCACTTTGGAGATGTCGGATGTGCGGCACTGTTCTGGACGGGATCGTCGTCATTGCTACCAACACCACTACATCCACTTATCGTATGCTCTAAGCGCACGGTTGTGCGGGTAGATGTTGGTCAAGTGATTGTCGTGGATTAAGATTTCTAGATGGTTCTCTAGGTACTTGATAGGGGCCTGAGAGTAGGCCGAGAGAGAGGAAAGAGGAACAAAAAAGTACGACATTGTTGCTTGGCTCGTGCTTGGCTGGGCGGGGCTCTAAGTGTCGTTGTGGACAGGTGCTGTAAGTATAGTAAGCAGAAGGACTGTCATGGGGAAGTATGTTAAACCTTATTAGGACGACCGTATGAGGATGGATGGGGTAGTGTTTGGCGTTGTGATGCTATTTTATTTGAATTTGTGAAGGTCTTTCATGAGCCTGAGTGAGTAATGTGGGTTGGAATGTGAGTATGGGCTCAGTTGCGTAGCCTCGCCGCGGGTTCTTCTGGTAAGATTATTCATGTATTTTGTGACCAAGAAGCTCTTCTAGATTCTACCTGACATGACAGACGTGCAAAAACAATCCGCCCTTGAAACATTATCGGACGAGCTCAAATGGCATCTTTCATAACCAAAGCCGCGCTCGAAACATAACCATAACCGTTAACTCGCATTGGACCTGCCCACATACCTGAAAAGAACCACCTGAACTGCTAAGAATAACCATGAAAAGCAAAAAGCAAGCGCCGTCCGAACCCTTCATTACTAGTTCATGATATCAATATCCCGCACGCCAATTTATCCCCGTGACTTACACCTGGTACATCATAAAAGGACTCCAAAAGGAAGATAGAGAGCGCCAAGCCGGCCACCAGGACCCTTAGGAAATAAGCAAGTCTTTAACGCTCATCCCGATCTTCCTTTGTGGGTCCTGGGTGTGGGGATTCCCATGCCGGGTGAGGGAATTGGTGGGCACGTCGTGGACCGAGCCGACAGAGCCCCGGCAGTCCCGGTTCAGCATTAGTAGGGCTGCGGATGCTTCGTGGTCCACATCGGCAGAAGATGCGATGGAATACCGAGATTGCATTACTGGGGAGGTGCTGGAAGAAGACACAGCCCATGAGCTACGCTCAGAACGCGACGGATTGTCGGATGGGTGGGTTGGACCCAGTGCCGGGCTTGGCGTGATGGAGGACGCAAAATCGGGCGCCGTCCCGATAGGACCACCACTTCGGGGAGAGAACGCCGGGGAGATTGCATCCGCCGCAGCATCAGTTGGAGGTAGTTCCGGAGACACGGAAGCCGAGGACAGGCCCGATTCTTCTGCCAGAGCCTCCGGAGATGTTGGTGAAGGAGGAGCGGGAGGCATTCGCGGCGAGGCCATTGCGTGTCGATTACCGGCAGTTTTCAGATCGAGTATACATTGTTCTAGGTAATTGACGTAATCAATGCTTGCCTAGGCCATCGGGAACGGTTAGCGACCGGCTCAAGGACAGGGGTCGTCGAAGATTGAAGTCGGGACAAACCTGTAAAATGGCGAGCTTATGCATGTCCTGTCCTTTGCACGCCGGGATCATGTCTTTCAGAGTTCCAAATTCTTCATTCATTTTAGATCTCCGCCGCCGTTCGATCAGGCTGTGAGCTGTTTTCCTAGCAATTTTTCGGCCCGCTGCACTAGTTGCGCTGGGTTGTTTCTTCTTGGAGTTGGCTGAGGCTCCATTGTTTGCTGGTGTCTTGCCATTATCTTTTGCAGAGGCTTTGCTGGCTGGTGCGGTCGGCTTTGGTGGGCTTTGGGTCTTGGGCTTCATCTGAATGATTTTGCGAGTGCGTGTGGGGGGCGGTGGAAGGTTAAAGTCTTCGAGAGGTCTCTTGACACCAGTCTGACGCGGGGAATTCGCCATGATACCCAGTGCGAGATCCGGCGATGCTGGAGATGCTGGGAAGGAAGCGGATGGATCAGTTTTGGATGGTCTCCTGCTAGCAGCTTGCATCTTGGATGGACTAATGGCCGCTGGAGGCAGTGCAAATGGATCCGACGCATCCACCGATGCATTGTCTTTGACTATGAACTCGCCCGACATGGCAGGGGTCGGTGGCAGACGAGAGCGTGACATGGTCTCTGTGGGTGTGAAACGCTTGATGCCAACCCGATGATTACTGTCTCATTAGACGGGCTAATAGGATGGATGGTCCAGTCAAGAAAGTAAGATTGGGCCAATGGTGGAGCAGCGTTGGATGACAACCCGTTGAGTGTCGTACAGTCGGAAGCCGTGAAAGATGAAGAATATAGGGGGGACAACTGGGATAGGATAGGACAAGAGAGGAGAGGTAAAGGGAAGAGATAGTTGGATGGGCAGGACGCAGAAACGGTTATTGAATTTAGGAAAAAGCAATGTGACCAGAAGTGAACAGCTGGTGACGGAGAGTTGGGGCTCCTGCACAAAGAAAGACGCACGGCCAAACGCCGTGCCGAAAGTGTTGGTACCTGGGTAAGTTTATATGGATGGATAGGGAGGGGAGAGGCGACACAACGAGGTAGTTAATAGTTTGAACGGAGGTAATAGGTCGGGGGGGAAAGTGGGATTGCGATAAGAACAGGTACTTCTACGGTGTAAGTAGTGACTAAAAGTAGTGGTTACTTTTCCCAAATTCTAATCGGGATGATCGACGGGGGGTGAGGGGGCGATTGGCTTTGAATTCTGGATTTTCGGGAAGCTTGCTCATTACCTATCTAGTAGTAGCAGTAGTAGTAGTGGCTGGTTGCTGCAGCCAGCATGCACACACACCCATTTCACTATAGGGGATGATGTTACCACTCTATTAGAGTAAGAGTAGCAGGTACTCATTTGGTACTCTAACCGTGGATGGGCCTGGGACTGGCCACCCCGAAGCGGAGGGCAATTCCAAGTGTCGCGTGCTTAAAGAAGCCCACGCGGTAGCTTGCAGGCCCGTCATTGGCCCAACAGCATCGGCGGATGGGGGCACGAGACCGGTTGCCTGGGGCCAAACCGCCGACGCTTTTGGGGCTCGTGCTTCGGTCCAGAGTTCTTATGGGTTGTACGAGCTGCCGGCTCACGTCCCTTACTGTTCGAGTCCTCTCTTTCCCCTAGTAAAGTAGGTACTCGAGGTACTCCTCCTAACCAGTCTACTGTGGACTAATCACATTATCGTCTATCTAGTCTACTTGCATACTATTACTACTAAGCTCTCTTTCTTCTTGCAATCGGAAATCCCCACAAGCCCCGGGTGCCGGAGTGATACCTCCTAGGTACTAGATACCAAGCTGCTTCCGATTCTGACCTGCACTTGCCAAACTACTAAAGATGGGGTTCAGATCCCCTACTCCTTTAAGCCTGACTACCATCTAGATAATATTGCGGAATGGACCACGCCCACACAAACGACACGCTAATTGGTGCCATTTAAAGAGCGCAGAGACTTGCGTCGCCACCCGACTGACCCCGGATCCTTTTCCATTGATACTAGTCGGAGTGACAGCCAGATTCTTCGGTTTCATAACTCCCCGAAGTATCTCTCTCGCCCTTCAAACTATGCTCGGGTTTCATCAACGTGACAGGACCCAGGCAGGTGAAGCGAGGGGAAGTGGAGGAAAGGAAATACCAACCACACCATGGATCCTCATCGACTTTACTCACAATCGTCAAGGAGTAAAGGTGTCCATAAAGTGGATCTGTCTAATATTCCGGACCCGCAAAGCCTGAGCATTCGTCTCGGGATTCAAATGGTCATGATCTCGCCTCGGCCGCTTGTTGAAGCCTGGCGACGTTCTCGTCCAGAGGGGGCATTGGAGCACGTGCAAGCCGTCCTCCCAACCAGTGGACCCTCCTGCCACACGGGGTCGCATGTGCATGTCCCTTCTCCGGTACATTCCCCTTTCGTATCCGGACAGGCAGGTCGTCTCTGCTGCCCGGGAACTCTCCGCATCATACTCGTCATGCTCAGCTGGGCCAAGCGCCCGAGACACGCCCCAGTTGCTCCATTATTACCAACCAACCATACCGTCTTCTCCATTGGTCATCAACGCCAACATATTCACTTTTGGTATCGTTCTGGCATTCTGAAAATACCTCTTGCAAGCTCTCACTTTCCAATAGCGGGGCAGAACTACCACACGCAAGCACATGCCCCGCACTGCATCTGTTGTCTCTGGCAAGATTGTCGCTTGCCACGGTAAGCCAATCTTCTCTGTTGCTATTCGATTGGTTCTGGTCAATCGTAGCTATCGGGCAATGCGATGCTCTCCGTGCCGCAATTCTCCACCCCCGACTTGTGTGCTGCTTCGTATTTAAGATGGGATAATCCGAAGCGCTTTAGTACAATTAGATGGCCGCTTGGTGCAACGGCTGAGGTAACACCCCACTACACGGTTGTTTCTTGGCTAGATACTGGCGTACGTGGAGATAAGTACTTGGTCACCCATAGACATGGAATGGTTAACTCTAGATCAGCCTGGTGCGTACTGGTTGGTACCAGACAAAAGGTCCGTCACCTTGGCTTACTCCTCAACAGCTTTGGAGTCCAACCGACTACGCTAGTTACAGGATATATTTCCGCTCTACTGATATAGTAAAACTCGGACATCGATGGGACATGAAGCGGCTAGACTAGCCAATCACGGTGCACCGCAATGAAGGCTAGGTGGTGTGCGTATTTTCCTCTTATGCGGCACCACCTCAAGTGAACAGTCTTTGGAGGAGTACCTCACCAAAGGTATCTTCCACAGGGGAGCTATCCATTCTCCACACGCGGTTCCCAGCCCTCAGGCTTAGCCACAGGCCGTGATCATTTGCGCTCTCTTCATCGGCCTCGATGCGATGCCGGTTTCGTCGGTCGACAACGCACAAGCCCCGCGTCCACTGGCCAGTAGTCTCAATGCGAATGTCTTCTGGTGACGTCGCTGAAGGCTTCCACCCTCCATCTTCAGCGGTCATAGCATACCAAACACATACAGGGTCGTGCAGACTAAGGTCCGCGGCATCGCCCACGTGCCCGGGATGTAGTCTTTCCAGCGTACGGAAAGTATGGGCCATAAAGGCAGCCACCCATTCAGCCAAAGGTGATCCACCCTCCAGAAGCGGCGTAATGATTTGCCGGAACTGGCCTTGCGTCACACCATGTCTCAGCGTAATATCAAGGGGAAACGTGCGAAGAGTGAGCTGCTTGCTAAGGCTCGGAGGGTATTCGGGGAGACTCGTCGCGGGCGGCAGAGTGCTTCTGGGAGAAGGCGACGTGAGAGCATAGACTCTTGCTGCAGCAACTGCGTCAGCGTATGCGTTGAACTCTGCAGCTGGGGTAACCTAGAAGCTGTCAGCATCTCATGACTCTTCAATCCCCAGACGGAGTTGGGTTCAGGCCAATGCGCACGTTTCCAGGTTTGTTGATTGCTCCCCCCATCACCACTACTTCTTTGACTCGGAGGAAAGTCTCCGGGTCAGCAGCAGATGCCAACGCAAGATTAGTAAGGGGACCAACTGCCACGAGAGTGATGGTGTCAGGGTCATTCTCGCTCAAGATACGGAGAATCTCTTCGTGTGCGGGCCGCTTGGAAGGAATGAATGAGCGATGAGCTGGATCTCCCTCTGGGACGGGTTTGATCTCGCGGGAATCAGGTGAAGGGTCGAAGAGATGCTCCCAAGCTTCTTTTGGAGTGAGGTGGGGATGCTGAGGATCCGTGTGTTAGCAGCCTTGCAAGTTTTGTAAATTGTAGCTCTGCCTGCTTCACGTACACTGGCATGAATACCTCCCAACCCGTCCGTACCGTCTACAGAAGGGTCAGCATGGCGGGTTGATTAGCAAAACTTGCCATTCCTGAAACTCACGGAAGTAATCTGCGAGCATCGTTTGACCCTCCAAAGGATTCTCTGCACCCACAGCAACGATTGGAGGAGAAGCGCGGAGAGTACCAAACCCTTCTGGCCGACCTTGCTCTCGACGCCATTTCATCTCCCGCTCAAGGATGTGGAACATGGAGACGACATTGCGCAGGCAGCTATCTGTGTGAGTATAGGGCCGTACTATCAAGCAGCGGACAGCGCTAGCTTACCTTTTCACCTCGATGTTACCGAATGTAAGGGAAATTAGGAGAACTTCAACATCCTCAGGCTCGGCGGAAAATGCCAAAAGAAGGGCAAGAATGTCATCGATACCCTGTCTGGAATATCAGCACAGGTTGTAGCAAGCATCCTGGAGAGCGGAAGTGGAGCTTGGATGGGATCATGGAACCGAAGAAATAACATACGGGATCGGTATCGATGATGATCTTTTTCGGTGCCATTGCTACAGCTTCAGCTTGCGTGCCCAAGTCTGCCTCTATCCAATCAAGTATATTGTTTCTGTGATACAAACAAAGTCGATTCTGGCGGGAAAATCTGCGATGACGCGGGTTTCGGGCGATGGAGGGGAAAGTGGGATGGTCTTGGCCGGCGTTATCATGGCTTCTCCACTTCCAGCTATCTGTCCGAGTCCCCGAGCAGAAATAGACACTCGGACGGATATGCCATTAGTCATGCCGACTGAACAAGATAACTATCTACATCGTTGACTATCTACTGAATAATCGAGAGAATACATTACTTCGTGCTTTGCTTTAACATACTGTGGGTCTGACACGGGGCAAGGGTATCCAAGTAATTAAGGGAGACATGCACATCGATCGAAATCGGTATCCCCGAAGCATGAGGAGTTGTATGAATAGTTACTAATCTCCTTAGATAGGCTAGTAGCAGCATCGAAACAGTCTTCTTTAGAGCTTCTTTTCTCCAAGATGGTCGGACTTTGGAACAGACCTCTGAGGAGTCCGTAACGGGCTCGGATCATCTGCCCTCAGCATTGATGTCAGGCGCAATGCGTTTGTGTAACTGATGTGTAACTATCACAGAACATCGAGATCCTGGATTGTGACAGCCAATCATTCATCATTCACTCTCTATCACGCCTGTCAATCAAATGGCTATGTTTGCGGTTACATTTCTGTTGGACCTCGTGGTTACTCTGCAAGGGGTCTGGAGCTCTGTATGCTATGCCTTTAATGTCCCTGCTTCTGAAAGCGTCTAAATGGTCAATAAGCCTGCATTATTGAATAATACAGACTATGAACGGACAGGAATATACTAGGCTACATGTTATTTTCTGATTTCTGATACTCCCTCCAGATTAAGCTGCCCTGAGCACTACGGAAGGACCTCCGGGGCCTGAGCGAAACCCGAGACGTGGCCTGTTCGGGAGCCGGTATTACCCCCGTAAAGTTACGGCGAGGTACACCCGTTACTGTGCCTGTCATAGTGTAACTGTAACTGCCGATACTCCCGAAATAAAAGTTGGTTTGCAGGCTAGTCTCGCATCTTAGTTTGGTGATTCGATTGCTCTGCCACCTGGTGGACTATTTGCAAACCTATCAGCAACTACCGCTGAGCTAGTAGCTGGGGTCGTGGAATCTTCATTCGAGGACGGAATCTTCCGTCGACTCGTCTAGACGCCCGTCGAACAGGGGAAAGACATGACATTGCAGCGTGCAATGGTCGAACCAGCTTTGAAGATGTCGAAGATCTTCCCCCGCGTAATCTCCCTGCTGGGATAGTGTCCTCCACTTAATTTGATATCATATATACACCTATAGTGAGCCTAATAACCGTTGGATCAACGATAGTAATATTAACTAGCTAGCATTTGCTGTTTCCATTAATATGAATGGTCAGCGAGGCCTCACGGGCGGTACACTTGTATCCGGTGTAATAACTGTCATGAAGTGACAAAAGACAAAGACCGCCTTAAGTCCAATGACAGTCAGGTTGATACGAGGCGATGGTGCCTTGTTAGATCTTGAAATGCGCCACAAGCATGTCAGCCCCTGACTTGATTTAACTCATCAAAAAGATACCAACTATGCAGTGAAAAGAAACTACCGGGGAAACCTGTTGACTCATTCCAACGATCCTGAATGAGAGATTCACTATCAATCGTGATGTTGATCTCCAGTGGATCTCTCAAGTCAAACAGGCAGCCAGTATTACCATTACGAGCTCTGACCTCCCTCGCAGTGACTGCGATACTGCGTAGATACAGTACCACCACCACGGCCATCACCGTCTCCTCCTCTTCCCGCTGTAATTTATTATTCACGGACGGACACTAAGAAGGTAGTAGTTCATGACAACCCCTTCATCTTTCTCCAGACCGTGTCCTCTTCCACTTCCGCCCTCCTCCTTTCTTCTCTTTCTCTCCCAACCCTTCCTCTTTCTCACCTTCCTCCTATCTTCCTTCGTCCTTACCCACCTAGCGTCACCAAACCCCCAATTCTCTGGTTGACGGGTGCCTCGATGACCGCTCGGTGATTCCAGGTATCCGTTATTCCCTTACCTCATCCCGACTCTCGCTACCAGTACCACCTTTCTCTTCGCCGCAAAGCGCAGTCGGAACCTTTAGACCAACTCCCGACACTGAGGTCATAGGCTACGCGCTCAATTGCCTGCAAGCTATCGACTGCATTGCAGAGCGGTAGCTTTTCTTTCGTCTTCTGGCTTCATCGCGACTAGACTTACAGCTCAAGTGGTATTAGCATCCGAGATCCACGAGGCAATCTGGCCTTTCTGCGCGACTGGCCTGCCCTTTCCCCTTGTCTTCCAACCACCCTCTGTGTCTCGACGACTCGATGATTAGAGGTTAAGAAGAGGATCTGCGGAAGCTTGCTCTATACTTCTTTTTTCTTTTCCCCTTGTATTTTCTTTTTCTCCCGCGTTTCTGGACATCCTCGTTGGATCTCCTTATTCTTTTTTCTTCTCCTTTCTCGCCGAGTGTCGTCACGCCCCTGGCTATTAGACAACTTCAAGACCTTCTGTCATCGATTGAAGTCGTCTTTTATATTTGAGACATTATAACGATATTTGCTACGTCCGTCAAGTTTTATTTTAAATGTATGTTTTGGGCCCAGCACCACCTCCCTAATATTCCGTGATGCGCAGACTGACCATTATAACGTGTTATAGCTCTTAACGATGATGAACCCTTACATCAGTTGGGCTCTCCTGCTCGTCGTGGCAGGTGGCCTGGGCTGGTACTACAATGGCCCGAACCCCAAGCATAAGACCCCTATAAAGCCCGTCGTAGAGAAGACGGAGCCCGCGCCGGCCGCAAAGAAGCCTAAGCGCAAGACCAAGAAGTCCCCGGAACCTACACCTGCCCCTAGCAAGTCGGTTGAGGAGAAGCCCGCAGTCCAGCCTGCTGTTTCGAAGTCTGATGAGGCGGATGAGGAGATCGACAAGAAGGAAATGGCAAAGCGTTTTGCCGCCGTGAAGAACGGAACTCCCGTGCAGTCTAGCGGCAGCGCCAGCGCTGGTGGTAGCAAGTCTCAGAAGAAGAAGAAGACCAAGGCCGCTCAGGTTGAGAACGGCGAGCGCTCTGCCTCCCGTGTCTCTACTCGCACCTCGTCTACTACCGGAGCCGATGCCGATGATGACCTCTCTCCCGCTGGCTCTCCCATGGTGAACGCCACTACTGGTTCCGCTGGATACGTTTCGGATATGCTTGAAGAGCCCGCTCCGGGCGCATCGGTTCTCCGTGTCACCGGTGCTGTGTCCTCGGATGCCCCCAAGAAGCAGAAGCCCCAGTCCTTCAAGCAGGTGGAGACCAAGAAGCAGCGTCAGCAGCGTTTGAAGAACGAGGCCCGCAAGCAGCAGGTCCAGGAGGCCGAGGAGCAGAGACGTAAATTGCTCGAGAAGCAGCTCCACATGGCTCGCGAAGCTGAACGCCGTGAGGCGGGTATCAAGCCGTCTCCTCCCCCGACCAACGCCTGGCAGACCAAGGCTGCTCCCGCAGTCACCAACGGCACCCCCAAGGCGGCCCCGACCCAGAAGGTGGAATTGTTGGACACCTTCGAGTCGGAGACTCCCGTCGCTCAGGCTGCCCCCAAGAAGGAATGGGACTCCGGTCTTCCTTCCGAGGAGGAGCAGATGCGCATTCTTGGCGTCCAGGACCAGTGGACCACCGTGTCCAGCAAGAAGACCAAGAAGAAGGGAGGTAAGACTGACGAGAGCGAGGCTAGCGCTCCTGAAAGCCAGCCCGCTCCTGTTGCTGCTGCCCCCACTCCTGTTGAGCAGCCCAAGGTGAAGGTGACGCCCACCTACCTTCCCGATATCCTTCGCTCGGATGTCAAGGGCCACCCTCTGGACTCCGACTGGGCTGCTTAAACCCTCCATAGATCAGACGGCACCGAAGCTAGCCCCGAGAGGCATGCTTGTCTATGATTGATTCAGGACACCCGTATATCCTGAACTGTATTTATTACTCATGGCTTTGGCGTTTGGGGCACTCCATTATACCAAAAACGTACCATGTATTCTGGCGAGTTGCTCAGATCTGACCGTGAGATTCAGCGGTGGCAGAAACGCAACGACTTGACCGAAGAAACACGCAAAACCCCCCAACAAACAAAAAAAAGAGATCTCATGTATTATTTCATCGTTATGCTCGGTTCATCTTATTCTTATTATTATTTTAGTCTTGGATTCTCCTTATTTTTTCGCCTTTCTATGTTTTTTCTCCCTTAAATATTGTGATGTTGCTTATTGGCTCGGAGGCTTGCCCCTTTTGCAGCCCGGCACTGTACTCGGCCCATGCACTCTGGGGTTCCCTCCTTTTATGGGACTGACAGATGGCAAGTTTGGGTCGCCTCTAAATTGGCCATACTTGCCAACATTTCCTGATGTGTCTTACCTACTATTCCAAAATACCTTTTTAGTACGCGAGCGGCATGGCGACCGCGTTGGCGAAAATAGCATGGATGGCTGTGGATGTGATATCAGTGCAAGCGTGGATGGTTTCTTTTTTTCCCTTATGGAGGGCCACCTGGCATCTTATGTGTTTCTATTTTAACCTTTTTTTTTGCTTCTTGATGCTGTAGTTGTGGGGGTTTAATTCTCTCTAAACACCATAAATTAAGTAGCTGACTACAATTCAATGCTCCTTTATTTCGCAAGGATCCTCGCCAGATCTTTTTTTAGGCCTGATGCTCCTTTCTGCCCGGGTTGAGTGTGCCAGGTTGGATGGTTCCTGTTTCATAATGATCGGGTTTCAGACGCCGGATCCTGCGCCGAACGACTTAAAATTCGGTCCCTGTTGGACTGTGGGGGGGCTATGTCCGACCGGACTCCGCTGCATGGGTTATGGTCATTTGGGAGGGGGTGTAAGCCCTCGATAACGGAGGGTGAGAAGAGGAGGCCAACTAGAGCGAGCTGTAAGCTTCAAGCTGTGAGTGAGGGAGAAGGGTCTCGGTGAAGAATGAGGAGAGATCTCCGGGTGCCGGGCAGATCTGTCTGCAGTAGCCAGCAGGCATGAAGAAGCAAAAGAGGGAACTACTTTAGTGTTAGGGAGATCATGGCGTCACGGGCCAGGGTCGAACCTCCCGGGCTGGGGACCGCACCATGCCTCTCCCGGCTTAGTGTCGAGTTCCGGTCATCGTGGCCTGAACGGCAGTCACGGGCCTTCCTCTCCATCACCGCGGAGGTGCTGCAATCATCCATCTTCAACTCCTCTTCTGTGAGCCTCGCTCTTCTTCTTCTGCTGCCTCTTCCTCTTCCTCTTTCCCTTCTTATAATTTACTCTTTGACTTTCAGGCAATTCGGTTGCTCTGCCACCCATCCTGCCACTATTCCCTGCTGCGAGACCTTAAGCTTGCCACCTAACCTCTCGGCTCCCGCCCGACCCTTGTTTGTTGTCCCTTATTCGGCCTAGTTGCGGAGGGTTCAATTCGTCCCTCTCCCACTTTTCGCGGTCGCTTCTCTCTCCTATCCTTCATCTATATCCATTCTCGCCATGGCACAAATCCGTGGCACTGCAGGCTACAATTTCGGCCACCAGAACCCCTTTGGGGGTCCTGGTCGTGTAGAGGCTACGAGCGATCCGAGTCCCCTGGATGCTGTTCGCGAACAGACGAGCAAAATTGAGGACTGGCTGGACACCATGTCCGACCCTGTCAAGCCGTATGTGAGCCCTCAGACACTTCTGACTCTCATTACTCTGGTTCAGCCTCCGTGCTGAAGGAGGCACCTTCGATTGCTCGCATGCGGGAAAAGGACTTGTCACTGACACCGTGGCTTCTTCGCTGTTCAGGTATCTGCCAGCCATTGGTCGCTTTCTGATCGTTGTCACCTTCATTGAGGACAGTCTACGCATGATTACCCAATGGAACGATCAGCTCCTGTACCTTCGTGATTACCGGAAGAGTAAGCATGGCTTTGGTCCCGTCCCTCCTATATCCGGTCTCACCCGCCGTGGGGCCGGATCGCAGATCGACTCTAACTTGGGCTTCGTCGCATAACAGTTCCCTGGGGAATCACGCATACCTTCCTTATCGTCAACATGATCGCAATGGCGGCTTGCTCGTTCATGGTCATTGCTCGTAGACACACGGAGTACGCCGTTGGCGGTCTCTTGGCTGTCGTCATCGTTCAGGGTCTCGGTTACGGATTGATCTTCGACCTCAACTTCTTCCTCCGCAACCTGAGTGTTGTCGGTGGCTTGCTCATGGTTCTCTCTGACTCGTGGGTGCGCAAGAAGTTCGTCCCCGCCGGTCTTCCCCAGCTCGATGAGAAGGACCGCAAGATGTACGTCCAGTTCGCTGGTCGTGTGCTGCTGATCTTCCTCTTCATCGGATTCGTCTTCTCCGGCCAGTGGAGTCTCTGGCGCATTATTGTCAGCCTGTTCGGCTTCGTCGCGTGTGTCATGGTCATTGTTGGATTCAAGGCCAAGTGGAGTGCGATCATGCTGGTTGTGTTGTTGAGTGTGTTCAACGTCCTGGTCAACAACTTCTGGACTGTATGTTTGCCCCATGACAAGAAACTTTGCGCTGCGCAGTAACTGACTCTAATTTAGCTTCACCCCCACCACCCTCACAAGGACTTCGCCAAGTACGACTTCTTCCAGATCCTGTCCATTGTGTAAGCAGCCCTGAAGTTCACCATATCCCCAAGAATTGCAAAGCAACTCTAGCTAACAATATGCGCTCACTACAGCGGAGGTCTTCTCCTCCTGGTCAACATGGGTCCCGGCCAATTGAGTATGGACGAGAAGAAGAAGGTCTACTAAGGAAAACAAACACCATACATAACCTTTGAGTGCTGGGCATGTGATATGATATTCCCGGGCCATGGGAAAGGACCCCAATATATGAAACCTTTGTTTTACTTTTTTCTCTCCATCTTCCTCTCGTGCTTTTTTTCCATTTTATCTTTTTGGGCCAGAGAAACCATCTATTGTCCAGTCATACCACTATGTTATAAGCAAAGCAACACAACTACTACGAACATATCCGAGTCAAAAAATCATAGCATCATCATTTCATCATCATCCCTAAAAAATGTGTTTTTTTTATTTTTCGTTACCAACCTCTTAATAGGGAAATGCATGCCTCACTGCTTGTCTTGACCTGGATTGTTCATTATCCCCACAATGGTATGTATATTCTGGAATGGAGAATGCATAGTTCGGGGGCAATGGTCATTTTAATTACATTATTAGTACTAGTAGGGCTTTCTACTATTACTGTGTGAAAATCCTCCCCTCCAGTTCAGTGGTCTGTTACTTACTAGTAGGTAGATCATAGTAGCGTGACATATATATCAGCTGTAACTAGTATGTATTGTAGATAAGTAGCGGATGTGTAAGTATGGATGTGGAGTACGTTGACTGATCTGAACACGTTCCTTCTGTTTTGGGTAATTACTTAGCATCTATGACTGATTCAGGATTGACATACTTCTTTCCTGATTGGGTATTTTGTTTAGATATCGATATACTCACTACTACTTCTACAGTGTATAGAATATATCTTGTACTACATACATTGGTATTATGGGCTGCGCTACGCCGTGAGAAAACAGGAAGAGTCATAAACTGTAGTAACGATCTAAGTATATGTATTAAAACAAAGTAGTATACATGAAGGGTAAAAAGGTAAGGTCGGAGAAAAAGAGAGCGAATGAAGGGCAAGAGTGAACGTGAGAGAGAGAGAGAGAGAGAGAGCAAGTAGACGACAGACAGGACAACTAGGCTCAGAGCAAAAGCAAGCAAATATATAGGAAAAGGAAAAAACAATCAGACTAGGGATAGTACTCTGCGCAGAGGAATCAGGAACATGCACACGGACACAATTGTCAGAACCAAGCAATAATGGCGATGATGCGGAATGCGGAATGCAGCAAAAGGATAGTGTTTCAGTTGGATGATGATGTGAACAGTCTTTCATGGCCCGATGTAGGAGGGAGTGGATGAAGGAGGATGTGTTTGCTGGCCCAGCCATGCATACACACGTTTAGGGAACTCCCATGCTGTTCAGTATGATGCAACGAGAAAATATCTGCCATAGAATGGGTCAAGGGGCATCAAAACGGAACGCTTTTTAGCTGCTGCCAACGCCGAAACATACACAAAAACAAACCAACAGAAAAGGAATCCAACAGAAAGGGGGTATTTCTGCTACCCAAGGAGCAACACGAGAAGAAGAAAGAAAAAAAAGAGCAAAGCAGGCTTCCATGACTCAACCATGCACGCAAACGGTGGGAATATGACACGCCCTCAGACAAGTGACCTGGGCGATATGCGAATAGGCGGACGGATCTTTAGGGTCATATATCCATACTCCAACGCCAAGGTCGGAGACGTTCAAGATGACCTAATCCGATATCGTCAGGCGAGTCATTGATTTCCAAATGCAACAATTGAACCTTGTTGTTGTCACGTTGCAAGGTAGATAGGGCTTGTGAGATCGTTGGAGGGAAATGTTTACCGCTATCTTGAGTTGCTTTGGAGACAGGCCGTGACGTCGGGGTCCCGGGCTGATGCAAGGAGACTCGCGGAGACTCCACCTCGGTATCACCGGGCGATGACAGAGTGGAACATGAATCAGAGCGCGAGCGGAACGACGGGGATATTACGAAGTTGGTCTCATCACGCCCGAACATCATTCTGGGCGATGAGGGCGGAGAGAATTCGTCGTCCCCTTCCGAGTCGTCGTCCACGGCTCGCGGATCGTACCAGCCGTCGGGGGCCATGCGAAGCGGGGAAGGCTTAGGGGCGTTCTTCTTTTCGGCGGGTTGGGTGGCTATAGGAGGGAGCTGCTGGGCAGGAGTGACGGGCTTGACATTTCGGTCACCGTCTACGCGTTGTCCACTAGTGTTATTGCTGCGGACAGTATCCCCCGAACGCTCTTTGCCAGCCATCACGCGAGCACTGGGTGGGGGTTGTAGCATCCATCGTGTTTCGGCGCGGCTCTTGGGTCCGCTGACGATGGGAGGATGAAGGTCGTTGACCGGGGGCACACGAGCAATATAGTACTTGCTGGAGGAGCCCGCATCTGCTTTACCGCGACCCGAGAGTCCGACGGAGGAACCCTTGACCTCCACATCCTGACCCCATAATGGCTCATCCTCGCGCTGATTTCGCATGCGGCTCCACCGATCGCCCAGCGGATGCTTCAAACTGCTCTTATCCTTCTTGTTCGCCGAGTTGCCTCCGCGGCTCACATCCTGTGTAGAGTCCGCCGATATTCCGGTATTCCAAGAGTCGGTTCGACGATGCGCGTTCCGGTGACCACCTCGTCTAGCGGGAGGACCAGGACCGAGAGCGATTTCCTCGGCCCATCCTGGGTTGGTACTAAAGGCGGTGGGTTGCGCTAACGGCCTCGGCTGGTCGGTGACGGTAGCATCTATCTTATCCTTTTCACGTTGCGATCGAACGGCTTCTTTCTTGCGCTTGTGGCGGTCTAGGGAGTTGGCACAGGGGGTGCAAGTGGCGTAGTAGAATACAGCGGACTGAACGCCACGGTAGAGCCACATTCTGGCCTGGCCACCAGAATCGGACGAAGGAGGTTGGGGAGGAGGGTAAGGGAGGAGGAGGAGGGAGAGGGAGAGGGAGAGAGAGAGGGAGGTAGATGGGAGGTAGGGAGGGAGGGAGAGGAAGACGGGCTGCCACGGACTAGCCTAACGATGCCGGCGGGAAGAAGAGGGAAATCCTAGCGCTTAGAAAGACCAATTGACCCCGGGGTATAGACAAGAGTGTCGGGACGGTCGCAACAACATGAAGGGCGCTCGGAACCGGAGGGGAGAGGAGGGCACAGTATCGTTGATAGCGGAGAGCAGTAGGAAGTGGCGGTCGCCCAGCGACCGGGGGGAGATTGGCGTCAGATAATGGGGGAGGAGGAGGGGGTTTGTTGCAGGTTGAGTTGAAGCGGTCTGGAGGATGATGATGGAAGCAGAAGAGATGATGACAAAAAATATGAAGCAGAAGCGGAAGCAGAAGAACAAGAACAAAAGAGGAGGAGAGGAGGAGAGAGAGAGAGAATAGGAAGCAAAAGAGAGAGGGAGTAAGAGGGTAGAGTCAGAGTAGTAAGAGGGAGGAGGATACGGGGGGGGGGGGGGGAAGGAGAGGAGAGGAGAGGGAGAGGGAGGGAGGGAGAGAGTGAGTGGATGGGACGCCGAGCAGGTAACCGCCATCAGGGGAATCCAACTGAACTGAACTGGAACTGAATTGACCTGCAACTGGAACGGTCGGGTTTTGGGCCGCACTTGGCAAGGGCGGGGCGGGCGGCAGAGAAAACGGGGCAGGCTGTCACATTTAGATTTCGTTTCTTTGCAATTCATTTATTGTTCAATTTCATGAAGTAGATTGATTGTTAGATTCATGTTGTTTTATTATTATTGAACAAGTTCCGGGCTGGGGGAGATCTTCTCATACATACACACACACACTCTCTCTCCACCTGCAAGAAGAGAGAGAGAGACGTTGCTTGCCGACTCCCACATCATAGTAATATTAATAATAATAATTATAATAATAATAGTTAAACGGAGGCAGGAAATAATAATAATCGGGTAAATCTCACGAGGGGAAAACTAAAACTAAAACTAAAACTAAAACTAAACCAGAATCTCCAACCACTTGGGACGAGCCCCTGGAAACCTGGGAAAGATGGGAAAACCATAAAAAACGCAAATCCGAAAACGGCCAGCGTCAGATCCTCCCTGAATTATACTAATCATCCTCGAACCGAACGGGACGGAGTCTGGGACGCGTTGCATTGCGTTGCGCTGTTCACCCGGATGGATTCTTTTTAGTCAGTCACTTGCTGTGCACAGGGCAGTGCAATGCAGTCTGCGGTGGCATAAGTCGATGAAATAATATAAAGCATCTCATCAACGTTTGGGGTATAAGAATAGCACAAACTGTATGCATGTGCCACTTGCTGCATGGCTATTAGTTACTGGGTACATGCAACGCAACATGGCAACCCAGGCATTCCTTAGTTACTTACTAACGATATTGATGATTATCGGATCAGGTGATGAATGTCTTTGCTTCTTCATATTGATTATGATATTATTATGGTTAAAATGGTCAACTTATGTCCTTGTCCTATCCTTTCCCCCCTTCCCCCCTCCCTCCTCCTCTCTGTCCAGGGCTGATCACCTTGCATATCCAGCTTAACCGCTGCCCTGAACATCCCGCGTCTCAATCACTTCGGCTGGTCTCCCCAACACCCAATGAAACTGCCGTCCAATGGATCATCCCTGCCGCGCAGGAGTGTTGGATATCTCTTCCCCCCTCCCTCTCCTCTCCCATTCCGTCCTTTGGCCATCCCAATGCCTTGTCTGTTTAGTCCCAAACTTCCCTTTTTTTTATTCCTTTCCTTGATCCCATGCAATTCCCAAACGCAAGAACTCCCGTCGAGCCGCTAAACTTGGCCCCGATATCACATCAGATGAGCGCCCTGGTGAGCCCATGCGCGTCCCACTTGTAGCTCTCTCTTTCACACACACACACTCTTTTTCATCTCACACGAGAAAGCGATCCCCGCCCAATGACGCACCGGTCATGTCCACGGATCATCTGGTACCGACCAATCTCCTCCTGTAAATCTGTCGCGCGCGTAGCTTTCTTTCTGTCGCCTCCATAACAACATTTTCCCCTGGCCGGCACTGACACTGGCACGCGCTTACTGCCCCCCTCCCCTTAATTGACGAACGAAGACCACCACAAAGAGAGGGAGGGGGGTTCCGCCTGACCCATATACGCACTAGCCACCAATGTTACGCTGAAACTCGTCCACTTCCCCATCGTACACATAAAACGCTCATCCTCTTTTTTTCCTTTCTTCTTGCTGCGAGAAAAAGAAACTCCTTGTCATGTAGATAATCATCGGAACACCGCTTCCCCGCTGTTTCATGCGTTCTTGGTACCTTTGACCACTTCTCCCCTGACCTTCGTCCAGTCGATGTCGTTGTCAATGGCTTCGTCCACCTCTCCGCATAATACAACGTTGTCGCCTCGGATCAGATACAGCCCATGTTCAATCTGGGAACTGGGTTCCGGGTCGTCGGGGGTCCGGATGATTCGCTCGATCGTGTCCAGGAGAACCAGGTTCGTGAGCTGGTCGGTCGAGAGTAATGTCCCCAGGAGTGTCCGTCCGTCAACCGTCAGGATGCATACTTTCTCTATATCGGGGTAAAACCACATACGTTAGCACTGACCATGAGACTAAATCCCAGACATGAAATGGATCTCTTGAGACCAAACTTACTGTTAATATAAGAGTGAAGCGACATGATGATCAAAAGTGTCAAGGTCAAGTACCGAATCACCAATACTTCGAACAGTAAAACAAGCCAAGCAGCGAAAAATGCACCGGCATCCAAGGTCACCTATCCCAGCTGACTTGTAATAAAGGCGATCCGGAGAATAATTTAGAATTCCGTAACCAAGTCGAATGCACTCGTGCACTAGGTTGGAAGCTAGTAGCTTGACTCGCAGCAAATACTTCGTCGCCGCGTTCCGATCGTCAAGCTGGCGGGATTCTGCTCACTAAGCTCCGAGGTCGGCCAGCTGTCCTGTACAAAAGGAGAAGAATCGTGTATATGACGCGCTAATCGGAAGGAACAAGGGAATTCGGTGGGAAGGAGAAACAGCTGCGAGGTCTGGCCTGGGATGTTGGGACTGCGGCGGCGTGCTTCTCCGGATCCTCGCAGCTTCCATGCGGCGGCCGCTGATCACGTGATAGGAGCTGTCCCGTGCTGCGCGCTGGCGATCACGTTTGATTGATCAGATAAAGAAGCTTGGATTGTTTCACTACGTGATCCCTGGACTTGTAAGTCCAGCGGATACGCATTGGTATAGGAATAATTACTGCGTACAAAGCATGCAGGTTGTAATGCAATTGACCTGAAGACCAATCTTCATTCCTTTAGAAACACCCTACGATCACTAACAATATGCGAATCCCTAAGCAAATCCACAAGCCTAGAGAACTGTCCTAATCTACTACCGCGTGTCTCGCCGCAACAACCCCCTTTATCCAACCAATGCGCTCAGGTCCAATGGCACACTGCTGCCTCGCCCAGCCCGATACCGCCTGGTGCCTCCCACAAATGGTCGGGGCTTGGGCAACAAGCCTTCGCTCTGGAACTTAAACCGGTGATCATCCACCCGCATGATGCCATGTCCGCCTGGACTGCGAGGGCTTGTTCCCGGTGACGGCCCGCCGTTGCTGAGGGTATAGGCGCTCGGGTCCAGGGTAGAACGGTCTGGTTGATGAGGTGGAGGGGGTGCTATGGCAGACGGCAGAGGTGAGGGCCGCGACAGTGGTTCGCTAGGAGGGGCGACGGGGGGAGCACTGGGAGGAGGCGGAGGAGGTGCTGCTGGGGCCGAAGCCGCTGGTGGGGGAGGTGGCGGCGCGTGTCCCAAAGCATTTCTGGCAGCTTGTACGGCGATGGACGCAGCAGCTGTTCCGTTCGGCGGCTGTGGAGCAGAGGCGCCAGGAGGGGGAGGGGGAGGAGGTGTAGAGCGTGATGGCGCCGGGGGAGGTCGGGGAGCAGAAGCCGGCGGGGGCGGTGGCGGAGGTGCAGCTGGGCTAGCTGATGGGGGTGGAGGTGGAGGAGGAGCAGGAGCAGAGGGTTTTCTTGTAGATACTGGAGGAGGCGGCGGGCCTTTGGCGGAGCCGGGCAATGGTGGCGGTGCGCGTGGGGGAGCGTCAGGGGCGGATCTGCTGGACGCAGTCGAAACCGTCGATGACGGCCTGGAGGCCGGTCGTGGGGGTGGTTTCCGGAGATTCGCAACCAACGGGTTCACTGGAGGGGTAGGAGGCGACTCTGTCGCAGGGGGCCGTGGCGGAGGGCGAGCACCTGGCGGTTTGGGAGCGGACATAGCAGGGGGCGGGGGAGCGCTCCGCGAACCATCCGTATCTGATCGATATGGGGAGTCGCGATTAGCTCCGGTGTCAACGCCTCCCCGACTACGCAACTTGGGCATGCCTCCAGCAAAGAGGCCTCCAAGTTGAGGCGCCGCCGGGGCGCCCGCCACTACATCACCTCCTGAACCAGTATCGCTGTTGCTTCGTAGTCTGTTCGCTGCCTGTGCCGGAGGGACGGGTGGTGCGAGCCCTGTCGGAGGCTTCGCCATGCCCGGAACTGGCGGAGCGCTTGGAATTGCAGGACCGGAAGACTTCGCGCCTCCTCCTGAGACCATGGGTGCCGATCTGTCGTTGGTCACGGTCTTCTTCAACTTTGCGCCTTTGTGGATGTCGGAAAGCAGTGCGCCCTATACAAGGCATTAGCAGTCGACTACTTGCCTAGACTGGCAGACAAGAGCTTCTTACCCGACCCTTCGCTGCTGAACCAGAGGGTCTGCTGGGCAGATTGCCCGCAGGGGGAGGAGGCGGGGGAGGACCTCCCATCCCTCCGGGCGGCGGCGGCGGCGGCGGAGGGGGAGGCATGATGTTTGTAGACGATGAGGTATGACGCTTGCAATCGGAAGGGAGTAATGAGTGGGTAGACGATCACGAAGGGATCTAATCTGCTGGGGCTGGCTGGATCATCTGAAGCCTGCTGTTGCCAGAGAGAGGGTGGTGTTGAAAGAAAGCAGCTGCCTACGGGGCGTTGCTGATGGAGGAGAAGCAGGAGAGTTCACGGAGGGACGGACGTCAGGTTGATGGACGCCAGACAGTCAGTCGTTCCTGGAGACCCGCTTTTGGTGGCGGCAGTAAATCAGTTGTGCCCTCGCCGCCTTGCGCATCTCCCCGTCTTTCTCTGGCCCCATCAGGTAGTTTTCCCTCCTCACCACTATCACCACAACGGCAAACAACCATGCTCCCCACAAGAGGCATTGCCCTCAGAGGCCACAAGAGCGCCCGGCCGCAAGCTCTAGCCTGCCAGATCTGCCAATTATCCGCACCTTCCGCGCCCCTTCATCAATCCGTACGATCCTATGCATCCAGTCCGTTAACCCGGAATGCGCGCCCAGGCCAATTGCGCCCTCAAAGAAGCCCAAGAAACTCCTGGACTCCGACTACATACGCTTCCATTCCCAGAAGGTTTGATTCCACCAAACCTGGCCACCCCACGCCAGCGGACTTCGAAGAAGCCGTGGACCAGATCGCCCACGAATGCACCGAGCTCCGGGGAACGGACTCTGTGCCCTCTAACGACAAGGTCGTGAAACTGCTACAACAATGCCAGCGAATCGCAGAAGCCATGGTCCACCCGGAGCAGGACACCGGCAAGAACCAGCAACCGGACGAGATCTCGTCCCTCCTAGACCTAGAGGAAGGGAAGAACGCTGCTACCCGGAAACAAAAGCAACCAACGACCACCACACTGCCCCGAAAGACACCCGAACAGATCATTGATCAGCTCTGCAAATCTGTCCACAACCTCCTGACAGATGAGAAAGTGTTCATCTCTCCCGAAGCCCTGACCTGTTACACCAAGATCCACGCTATGCTCAAACGCCCCGACCACTTCCCGGAGATCTTCCATCTGTACGCGAACAAGCCAGTCCCCGAGGAGAACAGCTCCCCTGTTCGATACCACAAGGCCAAACCCAAGAGTATCAACAGCGCCGTGCCCCTCGAGCTCGCAGACATGGCCCTCGATGTCGCTATTGCCCAGCGCAACCTCTCCCTAGTGTTGGCCATCATCGACACCACCTTTAGCACCCCGGCGTTCCGTCGCGCCAAGGTCTTCAAGAGGGCAGCTGTCCCCTTGGGTGGAATTGCTGCCGCGCCTGCGGCTTGCTATACCCTTGCTTCATGGGCCTCGACGCTGCAGAACACAATGGACCCGAGCACAGCGACGGGGATCGCTTTCGCGGCGGGTCTGGCATACGTCGGGGGAGTCACGTCGGTTGGAGTCCTGGCCATCACGACGGCGAATGACCAGATGGAGCGGGTTACTTGGCAACCAGGTGTGCCGCTGCGGCATCGTTGGGCCCGTGAAGAGGAGCGGGCTGCCTTCGACAAGGTTGCGCTCGCATGGGGTTTCAAGGATATCTACATGCGAGGTGAAGAGGAAGGTGAGGAGTGGGAGAGTCTGCGGGAATTCATCGGCATGAGGGGGATGATTCTGGACCGGACGGAGTTGATGCCTGGGATGCAATGATACGATACTATACTTCTGTACCTACTGTACCATACTGTCTACAATAGAAACCTACACCTACACCTACACCTACACCTACACCTACACCTACACCTACACCTACACCTACACCTACACCTACACCTACACCTACACCTACACCTACACCTACACCTACACCTACACCTACACCTACACCTACACCCACAACAGCTCCAACTTCTAGGAACAATGAATAGAGACCAAAACCCAGGATCACATTATAATCCACACCATAAGTAGCTAAACTATGATACGAAACACAACCCCAGAATCCCAGCCCCTAAGAAAAAAGGTCGTACCCCCAGCGTGACACATAACTTTTTCTTTTTAGGATTAAAAAAAGAAAGCGACCCGCTTAGTACAGACGCTTAGGGGGAGACATGGTAGCCTTGAGGACAAGGCTACCAACGTTCTGCCAACCCTTCTTAAGCAGAGAGACAAGGTAGTTGATGGCCAGCATGGTGTTGGCGACGAGCTCGTCCTCAGTCATGCCAACGTTACCGACGGCAACACCGAGGCAGAGAACCTTCTTAAGCTGGAACTTGATGGTGGACTTGACCTCGTTGACCTTGTTGGCCATGTCCTCAGCGTGAGAGACGGGGGTAGGGAATTTACCGGCTAATCGAGTATTTAGTATTTCATCACGACTGGGGGATATTATGGGGAATGTGGTGCTTACCCTTGGAAAGACCAGGACCCAAGAGACGGGGGATCTGCTTGATGAGGGTGTCGGAAGCAAGGAAAGCATCGTACTTGCGAGCAAGCTTCTTGATGAGCTTCTTGTTCTTGTTCAGCTTCTTCAGGTCATCGGCGGACATGGCGTCAATGCCGTGGTGCTTGGCACGGTCGAGATCGTGCTGGTCACCAAGAACACTATCCTCTTATTAGTACTTCTGTTCCCTTGTCTCTCTTTAATCCGTGGGAGGATTCCGGTGGGGGCGGTATCATACCAGATGGTCATGTTGGGACGGGGAACGGTAGGCAGCTTGATGGTGCCAGAGAAACGCTTGTCACGCTGGGGGTCGTAGTTCTTCAGACCGATCTGAAGCTCGACGGTCTCGAGGAAGTTTCTCTTCTTCTCATTCTGAGAGTAGTTGAGCAGCTGCTCGATGTTCTGGCGCACTCCGGCTGTTCATTAATTAGCATCTCTCTTTCATACACATACACCTATTGTTTCCATTGTTGGGGAAAAGAGGCAACGTACCGACTGTGATCTTAGACATGGTGCTGACAGTCTTCCAAAAGAACTTGAAATCCTTATGGTGTGGCTCTGCGCTGAATATCGGGTCAAAAGATCAAAAGAGGGAAGAAAATCAGGCCGGGCGCCGCGCTGGAGGGCCGCGAGAAAATCCGTTACTCCGCTTTGTGTGTGGATGAATCTAGCGCGTTTGGGTTTAGCGCTGCCCTAATTTGCATTTGCTGAGTCAGATGCATACTCCGGTGGTTGTGCGGGCCGTTGTGAACATCGTTTATTTGAGAGGTTGCAGGTCTAGATAGTCGGTGATTGGTCAGTTTTTGTATATTGGGTATTTAATATAGTATGGTTCATCTACTTTCATGTGGTTTAATGTGAATTTTGCAGACTGAAGTATGTGTCCTCACACAAGAATTTCGTTACGTATTCGTGTCCATACTAGTATGATTAGCCGAACAAAGAATGCTTCTCATAGATGTAGATAGTATCATAATCATTCAGAAAATCTAACAGTCATCTAATCCTGTACGCGAACGCTAAATCAAATTTACCTTTCCATCGATCCGCAGTGGAATCATTCTTGTTTATATCATTCTTATATCTGAAATATACTGCTCATCCACGCAGCAACTCACAATTTCGCCTGAGCCTGTACCTGCTCACCCTCACTCACCAAGCCAGCTTCAATAGCCTTGATCTGCAAAGCCAGGAACTTAGAGTAGATCCGGCACAAGGCGAGGTTTCCGCCCATATACCAGAATCCAGGATGGCCGCTGGGGCGCCACATCTGTAAAAGGAACTTGTTAATAATGACCTCCAGAAATAAAAGGCAAGAACATACGGCATTAATTTCTCCCTCCTCATCGAGATCCCAGACATCGCGACATCGGTCCGCAACACGGTCACCCAGAACTTTCCGTACCGTCGTGCGCATGTTGTCGTAACCAGTGGCGAGGACAACGACGTCGGCCGGCAAGGCTGACCCGTCCTTCAAAATAAGACCGGATTCCGTGAAATGAGAGATTCCCTCCGGGCTACGCTTGACCTTGATCTTTCCCGACGCGATGAGCGGGCTGCAGCCGACATCAATGTAGTATCCGCCGCCGCGAGTCATATACGCACGGCCAAGACCAGCACCGTTGACGCCAAAGTCCAGTGCGAAACCAGCCTTTTCAAGGCCACTGAGAAGATCTTGCTCGGCGTGTGCCACGCGCTTGGTGAAATGCTCCCCCAAGGCAAATTGGACAGCAAATGGTAGACATTCGTGAAGCAGGTCGGCCTCTTCGGTAGGAGGTCTGCAAGGGTTAGTAAACTGGGCAGACACGAGACAGAGACCTGAGACGTACCCGTGATCTTCGTGTTGACCCTCATGCATCATAAAGATACCCTTCTCCACGGTAATGACATAGGTCCCGCGTCGTTGTAACATAGTCACCTGCGCACCGTTCTCGCAATAGTTTTGCGCAATATCATGACCGCTGTTTCCAGTACCGACCACGACGACCCTTTTGCCTGCTACGTCGTAGTGGGATGCATCGCTGTGCTGGCTGCCGTGGTATACTGTGCCCTTAAATTGCGACTGATTGGGGAAGCTAGGAACCAAGGGCTCGCCCGAGTGCCCCGTGCACCAGATCAGGTGGCGTGGGTGCAGCGTGCGCTCGCTCCCATCGCCGCGGACGACCACCACAGTCCACTGCTTCTGAGCATCATCGTAGTCAGCAGATTTGATAGAGGTCTGAAGCCAAACATTCAGTTCCATGATCAAAGCATAAGCCTCGAACCAGTCGGCGAGTTTGTCCTTGGGGGTGAATTGCGGCCAATTCTTCGGGAAGGGAAGGTATGCCATGTGGGTGAATTCTGCAGGGTCATGGGTTACGAGGGTCTTTAAGGATAGGTCAGACGGCAGTCACAATATGCGTATAGCAAGCGGAGCTCACCCTATAGCGCTTCCGCCAATTATCTCCGATACGTTCGTTCCGGTCGACGATGAGATGCGATATCCCGAGAGAATTGAGCCGAGCGCCCATGTTGAGACCTGCCTGGCCTAGAGGTTTCTTGGTTAGCTATTTTCGGCTGTACTTGGAAAGGCGGGGTTCGCGTACCAGCTCCGACAATAAGGGCCGTAGGCTCTTCTTCCTTGAACTCAATTGTTCTCTGGCGTCGCTCGAGCCAATTGCCCTGGCCGAGTCCACCAGGCATGGACTCGATAGTGCCGTCCGCTCTGCGGACGCCCAATGGCTCCTCAAACGTTTTCAATTCCTGCAGAGTTGTGTACATCGCATATGCCTTCCACTCTCCTGCATCATTCTGCGTCAGATGAATGACCCCGGAGCCACGCCCAACACTAGTCTCGAAGAAGATGATGGAGTTTATCCAATTCAGTCCCTCCACGGGGCTTTCCATCCTGGGCTGAAATTTGCCCTCATGTTGCAGACGGAGAGCAGAAAGGCCCGCGCGAGGCTGATTGGCAGCCAGGAACTCTTGGATCTTCCCGCATCCCTGGATGGTACGAAAGTCCCAGACCAATGCGAGCATATCCCTCCACCAGGAATCCTCATGGAAGAGTCCTGCTAGTTGGGAATAGTTCCCCGTGGCGAGAACGACCTCCAGGTTGGTGATCCATCGCTGGGCAATAGCTCGCGGATCAAGCGGACCGATGGAGGATGGTGTTTTGGGGAGCCGGATCACGTAGTTGCTCTGAGCAAGAGACATGATGGGAAGAGGACCACTTTCACTGTATCTCCGTAGAAGTTGACGAAAGATGGAGCGGCTGGGGCGGGAGGGTCAAGTTGAAGAGTATAAGCCCTTCGTTGTATAAATACCCCGAGCTCTCCACATTGGACCCATAGTTCTATCATCGACCACAGCTGGCGAGGGGGAGCGGAACCCGCCCGGAAGAGTAGCAGGTGGACATGCTCCGATGGGATGCAGCGGACCGCAAAGAAGTCCGGGGATGATGGGTCATATCGAGTCCTCGAGTCGAGTCCCACTCGTTTACGGACGTTATTCGTGGCAGTCCCGAGTGGAGTGTTGAGCAGCAGCAGCAGCAGTTGTCAGTTGTCAGCTGTCACTGATAAGAGACCATCGTGGCTGTCGATCCTTCATCATGCAGTGACATGATGATGGGATGGAGGGGAAGTTCTGTCCCAGTCTGGGCCTGGGGATGATCCAGCGCCTAAATTGCCCGAATCGGGAACTTTTCCTGAATTATCAGGATCTCTCGGCACTCTTACCCCGCAGATCATGGATGTCTTCCATCTCCAGTTCGATGAAGATACTCCATGTCTTTGCTTGCTGTGAGGGGCAAATCTGCCGAAAATAAGCAGGATAGAGTGGAAATCCTGCCGATGGCTGTTTACGCAGGATCAATATGGCTGACCCCTACTGCAGTGAAATCGACACTCTTCTGTCTTCGCTAAAAACCCCCAACATGGTAAGTATATGTTTCGACTATGTTGATTTGCTCTCAAATATGACAAGTAGGCTTTGCACTGGTGGATTTACTTCGTCATAGGGTAATACACGCCTTCCACACTTCTGATCTCCATCAACACGACACTGCCCAGCATACCCTGGAAATTTAGATAGTTGCCAATTGGAAGGGACAATAGAGCCCTGGACTGGGACATGTCTTTACTGGAGTATCACACATGGCTCTGAAGATATATAACTGCTTTGAAAGCCAAGGCATTGTTGCTATGACTCTCTGTCTTACTCTCAAGGCATCCAGGGTTGCTCGTCAAAGCTTGCTTCACTCAGATTACATACTCGCTCCAAGCTCAGTAATTTCAGACTGTTCACATGTACTTAAGGAACAGACAGTCGGGGGTGATGGATCCCAACAGGACAAAACAAGCAAACGAGCTGTATAGAAAGCCAAGAAGGCACATTACTGAACGTGCCAGGGGAATGTATAGAATAGGCGAGTTCATTACAAGTTAATAGAGAGAATCCAAATCGATTCCGCGTGACTGCCTGGCAACTAATGTCAAGAATAACCTTGCCATTGACAAGCTTGACAGCAACTCCCTTCAACTTTCAATCTCCAAGGAATTCATAGCAGGAATAATGCCAGTGTAACCTGCCCGAAACCGTTTCTCTGACAGCCCCCCGCGAACATTCCAATATTTCGCAGGCATCCGGCTTTCCCTCCCCAATCCGGAACCAACAAATCCGGATCATGGCAAGGGATGCAACCACCAATACACAATACACTCGGTGAATGGATCATTGTCTCACCAATGTGTCCCCTTACACCGACATGCATGGGCCCTTATAAAGCGGCCCCGGAATCAAGGGGGACGAGGGGTTGCAGCACAACAAAGACACAGACTGCCGACTCGCTGAATTCGTCCATTGTTGACCGCGATCGTCGTTCTTTCTTCATTCAGGTACCGCCATTCTCCTCTTGCATCGAGTTATAGTTATATACTTATATCCAACCTGCAAATCCTTCGCAAATCTGCTCATATCCTCTCACCCACTAACTCATCCACGCATTCTTAGAGTCTCAAACTTGCTTGCGAAAACAAAGATGCTTTTCAAATCCACCTTCCTCGCAACTGCCACGGCTCTGTGCCTCTCCGCCACGGCTACAGCTCAGGGCGCCAGCACCAATGCCCCCGTCGTCACAGACAATGATGATGTCCTCTACTACGCCCAGCTCCAGCCCAAGGATAACACCACAGTCCGCGGGTCTGTAACCATCTTCCCTAAGCCCGATAGTGTGGGTGTCCTTGTTTCGGCGCAGTTCTGGGGCATCCCCGACAATGACCAGCAGTTGGGTACGCCTCCCTTTCCTCCCGCTCCTTCAATATCTATCCCATCATATGGGCTTGTGTTTAGAGTTTCCCTACGAATCCGAACCCAAACTCAAACTTTGAGTTAATAACAAACCTACACCTCAATACTAACCTATTTATGAAATTGATCAGTCTACCACATCCACCAAAAGCCAGTCCCTCAGGATGGAAACTGCTACAGCACCGGTGCCCACCTGGACCCTTACGGCCGGGGCGATGCCACCCCCTGCGACATCAACGCGCCCCAGACCTGTCAAGTTGGAGACCTCAGTGGCAAGCATGGACCGATCTGGGCGCCCGACAACGAGGTATTCTCCACCACATATACGGACTGGTTCCTTTCCAATGTGGAGGGGGAGCCTGCCTTCTTTGGAAACCTCTCGTTGGTCGTGCATGCGGCGGATAACTCGCGCCTGGCGTGTGGAAACTTTGTGCAGCTGAAGTAAGACTGGATGAATATTTCTGCTCGGGACCTTCATGTATTGTTAGTCTGGTGTGTAGGGCTAGTCTTGGATTAATGCTTTACCATACACTTAGTACGTCCTTGCTTATGTGAAACGGCACAGCCCCAAGGTGTTGCTTTGCGCCTAGCTACTAAGTAGCCTAGCCTATAATAACTTAAGAAAACTACAACTCCTCGTAGCCTCGCTCTAAAAGCATGCCTGAACCTCGAAAGTACTTTATGTTGACATATGAACCATTCTACTTCCTGACATGTCTACATCTCACCCTTTTGGTTCCGTCGGACTACGACAGAACCGCATCGTTCTATAGATTACTCACGATAGAGACTGACGTAGCAACTTCAGTTCCCTGTCCTTTCTTGTATCCTGACCAACGCAGTAAATTGCTACGGTAGTAAGCGTCAACAATAGTAATATCATCAATTACTCCTTGTAGCAGAGAATCGAATAGTACTACAATAAGCCGCAGCAGAAATAGTAACAGAATGCGCAGATCTGGAGCGGAATATAAATGGAAATGAATTCCAGCATCTAACTATGGAATTACTCTTACTAAGATAGGTCTACATTGCAGACTATAGTATTACTGTAAGAAGTAATTCCTATGCTTCGCTTACTATTCTCCTTTGAAACAGAGATCTTGGCATTCATCGTTGGATTATGTTGTCATGGATTGTATATGGAACGATAGTCGTGTCCTCTTCAATACGTACGTAGTAGTCATCACAGAAATATCATATCACGAGCAGTGGCAGTATTTAGATCGAAATGCTGCGTTTGCTGCATTGTCCGGGGCGACTGGCGTCCATGCCTGGTGTGTGTGTATGTGTGCGTGCTCATAATCAGCACGCATTGCTCGCCCACATGCCACCTGCCAAAGGGGGGGAAAAAGAGTCCCGCGGAAGTGGCTGCATGCTGACTGACTGACCATCCCAGGTACGGTCATGCCGAAGACGGACACGGCAGCCAATGGTGGCCCTTTTCATTTATTTTTAATGCGACATTAGACAGCTGAGGCTTTAATGGCATATTCTTCGCCAATGAGCATTTCAGGTCGGTTGTCCATCTAGACTCTCAATCCTGCTTTGGATTGCCTGCTCGTCGTATTGACCTTCTTCGCCCTCGTATTCCTTCAAGACTACGGTCCGCATGAGCCGTCGCGGCGCCCGGCGACCTGTGAACAGCTCGAACTGGGCGAAACCTTGCTCCGGGAGGACATCTAGTCCGTCCAGAGCGACCCAGCCACGGTGCGAAAGTGCTCGGATTTGTTTCATCAATGGGGTATTGAGCGTTTTATACGCCAACTGTGTACTAGTTAGTGTCGTTCAGATTACAGGGTGCAATTACAGTGGTATTTGACGAACCTCCACAACAACGCCTCCCGTCGGGCTTTCGAGCCACTGCACTGGCATTTCGAAGTTCGGGGCCGGCTGCCCTCCAATGCTGTGAGTTGGGATACATGAACAGATGACGGTCGGCTGCTTGTAATTGGCAGGCCAGCTGTCCTGTAGGCTTTGCAGCACGTGCACCTGAGGCCGTGCCGCCGACCCGGCCTGGCCCGGGGAAGGGAGATTCTGGCGATTATAATGGTAGGCGAGTTTTTCGGCATTCGCTAGGGTCCGGTTGTAGACGAAGATATTCTGCACGCCCAGGTGGATCATGGAGTAGATGGCAGCGCGCGCCATGCCACCCGCGCCAATGACTAGCCCAGTGGACGAGGGGCGGATGGCGTTCGCGGGTGACAGGCCTCTTCGGAAACAATTTCCAATTCCGATCCAGTCGGTATTGTCTCCGTGCAAGGCCTTGATCGGCCCTGCGCGACTCTTCTCCATGTACAACGAGGAATTATCGGCGTCGAGGGCTTTGTCTCCCAGCCTCCGAATAGGAATCAGCGTGTTCACAGCGCCAATGGCTCGAGCATGTGGAGACATGGAATGCAGTAGCGGAATGGCTTCTGTTTTGAACGGCAGGCTGACACTGGTGCCACCAAAATGCGGATTCTCCACCAACTCATTGAGGCCTCGCAGAGTCGACGACTGGTGGAGCTTGTAATGGTGCGGCATTCCGCATCGCTTATAGGCGGCATTATGCATGGCAGGAGACAGACTGTAGGTGATGTTGGCGCCGAAAACAAAGAAGTGCAAGGGGTCCAATGTGAACGAGGCGTACAGAGCCTCCTGTGCCTCACGCAGGGTGATACACGGCAACCCTTTGGACTGCATCTCGGCTACCATTGACGGATGGGTGACAGGGGTCAAGATCGGGTTGAAACAGCATGACAACCGGCCCAATGGGCCCGCATTGTACGCGATGACAGGCAGTTGCGGGGTAGGAAGGGACTTGATATGGTCGCGAAAGCGTTGCACGGCAAAGTTGTCGTCAATTGTCACCGCCGGCTGTGTCAACCGAACCATGTCGCATCCTAACCTTTTGGCTCGCTCGTAGAGCTCGACATACTGTGCATCATCCCAGCCCCGCGCCGGTGGCTGCGTAGCAGCAAAGTGCCCGATCACTTTGCTGGACCCTTTATATGCTATGACCTGTGAAAGTACCTTGTCGTCGTAGGACATATCTACTGTCACAAACTCCGGGGCTAATCGTAGGCCGTGCTGGACTAATTTGAGATACTCAGGATCCGACCGCCGCGAGGGATCCTTGTGTTCTGCGCTCAAGCCATAACGACATACATTACTCTCCACATGGTATATTAATGGAACGACCGTGTTCCGTCGGACATTGGCGAACGCCCGACTAATGGTATCGGCAAAGCTCGAGTCCAGACCGAGATGGGAGGAAGGTGGCTCGGCCACATCCAGCTTCAGCTCAAACGCATCGGAGGTCGACTCTAGCTCCTCGATGTCCAGATCACGTTCTAACATGGACGAGATAGGGACGGTTACGGCATAAGTATAGGTGCGCGATTCAACTGGTTGCATCGACAGAGGGAAGGATGAGTTATGGCGGCTGAGGTCTGTGGTGTCGCCCGTTGCGAACGCAATGAAACACAGAAAATCCCGCTGTAATTGTTTGAGGGTAAGGAAAGGAGTGATTGCTTGGACTCGTTGATCAAGCTCCGATTCTAATTGCGAGTCATGGTGACCGTCTTTTGGAATCGGATGGTCCGCAAGGCCCTTCTCGGAGACATTGAAGAATTCGAGGTTGGAACAGGCGCGATAGATGGGCCCCGAGAGTTCCAGAAAACGACGAACCTTGTCTGTGTTCCACGCTTTCAGGTAAGACTGGATGCTCTCGGGGTCTCGGAGGATGTAGATGACTGGATGGGTTTTCGCGTACTCCCTCAGCAGCGTCTGCCCACTGCGCTCCATGGAACCAGGCCCGCACGCGATGACGCAGCCTTCTTGGTTTTCGGAGAGCATGGACTCCATCACCCTGGCTTCCTGCTGACGATACTCCACCAGATCGAACTCTTTCTTGTAGGAAGCGCGTGTACGACCGGTCACCTGCTGAAAATACCGGTCTGCATCGATCAGTCGCCTACCCGAGGTCGCCGCCAGAATGACTGCTAGACTGGACTTTCCCGTGCCGCGGATTCCGGTCAACACAATGGACGCATTGGGAGCGAATTTCCTTTGAGCCTGGAAAGGCCCGTCAAAAGAAACTGGCGACTGACGATTGGAGCTCAGCTCGCGCAAGGAAGCATTCAACCAAGGCGACGCCTCTGAGTGTTCCGTCTGGGGAGCGGAATTGACACGGGGACGTGGAGGCGCATCGTTGCCGGGAGTAGGATCTACTGCATGGGGGGTATTCGAGGTGAAAGGGAGATGCGACAAGCGCCTGCTGCTCTGATGCTCGACCGGACCTTCCAGCTCGTCTAGCTTGCGTTTGGGAGGATTCACGAGGATTGACATGTCGTGCACAGGGAATTTTTGTTCTGGCTATACACGAGAAATCACAATACTGAGAAGAGGGCGATTATTAGACCCACGCATGGCGTAGGACGCGAGAGCCGAGAATTAGTTGCTGCGGGACCGACCGACGCATTCGAAGGTAAGCATTGGGTTTGACACGATCACGGTGAGCCTGCGGAGGAGCAATCCAGCTACTTGTGTGAGCGACGTAATAATAACAATAATAAGAAAAAGAAGGCGGGAAACGAATACTCAAGACCCAAGAGTGTGGGGAGAGATGAGCTAGGGGAGGTAAGATAGTGTAGGATAGGGTAGGGGGAGGGGGGGGTGTGGGATGGGAAGGGACAAGAAGGGACGAACCAACCTGGAGTGGCTGCAGGGAGGGACTGGCGTGTTTGACGAGAAGGTGGAGATGGAGAATAATTAGTTAGTAGGTAGAATCGTGAGGAGGAAGACGAAGTGCGATCGAACCGCGGGGAAGAAACGACTGCCGAGCGGGTGGATACACTTTTTTGGAGCAAAAGTGGTTGCGGACAAAGACTCTGCCGTCGCTGGGCGGTATTTTTCGTATCCCTTTCGTACCTCATGTTACCGCCACGTCCGGATGACCCGGAATGGCTCCGGCGGCCGAACAACCAAGTTGTTAAGGAAAGTTTAGTACGTTGCAGTAGACTCGAGTTAGTTAATCAAGTTAGTTAGTTAACTGCCTGGGATGTGCCTTGTTCCTTGTCCTGCATTGATACCCCGCGGGGAGAGCAGGTCAATCAATCCCCAGAGACTTACCAGGCAGCAATTAGCCTAGTACTCTTTTACTCTTAGTTACATACTGAAATATACACCGCACTTTGGGTGCGGCTGGAAAATGCCATGCGACACAAGACTTGGCTTAACTAGTAGTCGTAAGTCAGTGGTAGATGGGGAAAGGTAAAGGGTCTGAAATGCTGGAATCTGAATGGCTCTCCACACCTTCTCTCTTCCCCAAGTTCTTGCTAAGGTTCCCTCCCTCACCCCCGGGCTATTCGGACTACTTCCTAATTCCAGAACCTGGACCAAAACCTCCCACATTATGAGTCCACAACAATCCACAATCCACAATCCACACACACAAGAAGGATTCATAATTTGATTACATTTTGATTTCGTATTACCAAATGGATCCCCGAGCCCCCCGGCGCTTTACTCTATCTTGTCCACCGGGGACACTTAGCGTTTCCAATCCGTGGATTCTGATGGGCCTCTTTGGTCTCTTTGCCTTTACACTTTCCACCACAGTAGCTTTTAGTTTCCCCAATCGCGATGCAGCAAAAGTGGCCATGGGGGCGGCGCTGACGCTCTCCCACCCGCGGGTAAGAAGTTAGGGCCGGCTTTTTCCCCAACTTTCCTCCAGCCGTCATGTCCGGCCAACTTTTCCTTTCTCCGCTCTTAGATCTCTCTCCCTCTCCTCTCTCCTCTATTCTTTTCCCATATTCCATTCTTCCCCTCCACATCGGTCCGTCCTGTTTTGTCTTACTTTGACCTGACTACCTTCCCCTTCTCTATTAGCTGCCTTTTCACCATCCCTGTCCTATCTGACCGCCACTACTTTAGTCTCCTCGCCCTTCCCTGTTTGTGTTTCGCTGTCGCCCGCTCACTGGCTCTCGCCTAATCGTTCCTGCGGTGGGGCGGCCTCCAAGGGCCAATTTATGAGGTACTACCTGCCGCCGGCAAAGGATTCATCTCTTCGGCCACCCTCTCTGGAAGATGAACATGCGTCCGGAATTACCATCTAGTGGACCGTTGGATAGACGATCATGAACAGCGACACGCGCCAAGCCTCCGGGCCTGGTAGCAAGTCAAAGCGGCGATTGACTGACGTCGAGGAAAATGGCAAGCAGAGCCCTGCTGCAGACGACTTTGCCTCTAACCCCAAACGCCAACGTGTCTCCCGGGCTTGCGATAGCTGTCGCTCCAAAAAGGACAAATGCGATGGCGTGCAGCCCGTGTGCTCGACTTGCGCCTCGCTCTCGCGGCCCTGCACCTACAAGGCCAATCCCAAAAAACGAGGCCTTCCGACCGGTTATATTCGCACGCTCGAGCTGCTATGGGGTTTGGTCTTCAACAAGATCCAAGGCAGTGAGGAGGTGGTGCGCGCCTTGTTGAAGGCGGCCAATATCCCCAGCCATCTGGCGACGATGGGCAAGGAGGCAGAGGGATCCGATACCTTATTGTCGTCGTGGAAAAACAGCATCGTCCTGAGGGAAATTGAGCGACTGTTGACGTTTCTGGAACAACCCGAAGAGGACCAAGCAGGTCGTTTACCGGGCGAGAGTGATTCCCCGCAAGATGCTGAAGGCAGCAGCATCTTGTCAGCAGAGGCGCTGGAGTGGAATCTTTCAGAAGTGATGGGAGAAGGAAGAGAAGGCTCGTTAGCGGTGGTGTCTCCCATCAAGACCCCGACCGCGGCATTGACGGCTAAGAGCTCCGGGGTGCGGATTACGCGAGACTCGGCGACCCAAACAGCCATCACCAGCGATTTAGGGGAAGACGCATCGAGCCTGTCGCTCGGTAGGTTGGCGCAGCGCCCGCCCGACCAGGCCGCCCTTCCCATTCCCATCCCCCAACTTCCCTCGAACGCCTGGCCCTTGTTAGACATCTACTTCTCGTACACACAATGCTGGTTTCCTATCCTCGAAAAGCACGACATTCTCCGAACAGCGTTTCGTCATAATGAAGACGACGCTCAAATCTCCGCCACCTCGCCGGGTTCGGGTGATTACGCCGCGCTGTGGGCGGTCCTGACACTAGCCTCCATCCAGGAGGCCTCGATCTCCACCACGCGACAACTGACCGACTTCGCTGGTGATCGCCCTGATCCGGCGCAGCTGTACACCACGGCTAGACGCCTCATTCCTGGAGAAAACGGGCATCACGAGCTTGGTCACGTGCAGGCATTGCTGATTCTATCCCTGGTAAAGCTGGGCCAGCAGGACTGGTCAGCAGCATGGCTGCTAGTCGGACAGGCTGTCCGCATTGCTCAGAGCCTCGGGTTAAATCAGTCCACGGGGCAGTCGAAGAGCGCGGAGGAAGGCAAGAGTGTACCACGGTCTAGGCACGTTTTTCTGGGATGTTTCATCCTGGAGACATTGGTTGCAACGCAGACGGGACAGGTGCCGTCGCTGCGCAAACCAGAGCTCGTCAAAATTGGCCCGATCAACGAAGACGGGTTGGAGGAGTGGCACCCGTGGGAGGATCAGACGGGACTGCGCCCGGTCGAGCCGTCACGCGCTTCGTTCCACCGCGGTCCTCTCCACGCCTTGAGCACATTCAACCGACTCACTTCGCTGATGTGCATCCTGAATGACTTGTGTTGCTTGAAGCAGACGACGAACGGCCCCATCGCGCCCTTGGAGGCGCTGGAGCGGCAACTCCAACTCTGGGTGTCGGCGCTCCCAAAAAGCTATCGCGTAGATCTTCAGACGACCCCGGTCAAGGTGGCTTCCCCACACATATTCGGACTGGAAATGATGTATGAGAGCGTCGTGACGAACTTGAGCTTGCAGTTTGCGTTGCAGCGGAGCGACCGGAACATGTCCGAGATGCCGCTGAAGAAGCGTGCCACGGAGAGCTCAAAACGGCTGCTCCAGTTGCTCCAGACATACATGGAAAACTACAGTCTCTCTGCCACTTGTCCAACGTTCGGGTTGATTCTCACGAGTGGTCTGCCCCCGACCGGAGAACGAGCGGCGCCGCTGCCATTCGAACTGGATCCCGGCCTCAAAAGTAAACTTCAATCTTTCTCCACACATTTGGCGACTGTCTGGCATATCAAGGACAGGCCTGACATGATTGTACCGGAAAAGTCGCCGGATCTGACCGCATCGATAACACCTGCGCCCGCCCGACCGAGAAGCCTGTCCAACCGGGATACGGGTTCGCTCCACGCTTTCGCTCAAGCTCCGCTGGGCGCGGGCGAGCCGGCACGACGAGTGAGCATGTTGGAGGACAACCGGACCAACATCGCGACACCGGATGCCTTCTTTTCGAACGGGTGGATGCGAACGCCCACGGTCGAAGACAATGTGGCACTATCTATCCCCACTCCTGCCCCGTCACTGAATATCAACCAAGGCGGCGAGACCGCCCACCCTTCCTCTCAACTCAAAGAATCTGTTCCTCCTAACCCTCTGTCCCACCATCCGCGCTCCTCCATCTCTTCTACGAAACCGATCAATGGCACAGGCACGCCACTGATGCCGGATCTAACCTCGCCTTTCCACGCTACTGCGCCACAGTACCCGCCTCCGTATGGTGATACCAGTCTAAATCTGGGATCGTTCGTCGACATTGACGGATACGGGCCGCCGCGACGCCCGCGGATTGCGCCGGACCTGGATGCGCTGTTTGACGAACTGGCGTCGCTGGATGGGACCGAAAAGTAAGCCCTAATTTAGTCTACCAGATGATCTTTACTGACAGCTGCAGGACGGACAACCAGCCGGAGTTTATGCAAAACCTCGGGTTTGTGCCCGATGCGGGGGTGCCAGAGCTGTACTCGTACTCGAGCCAGGTGGAGCCGTTCCTACTGGCGCAGACGCAGCAGCAGGTACCGTGCGAGGTGGGCGGGGTCCGACGGGGGTCGCAAGCAGAGGGAAAGAGATGAGCGGCTAGTGTATTGCTGCTGCTCATTTGAAACCCACAGGCCTGGTTCCAGTGGACTGCAATTTGGTATGTAACTGAATGCTGTCCAGTTGTCGTTTAATACTAACTTGTAATGTGCAGACAGGCTGCAACCCCGATCCAGATTCCGCTCGACCTCTCGCATCAGCGACAGCACCGAGGAATAGTGTATGGATTATTGTAGATATGACATACGGCCCAGTATCACTTCAAGTAAAGAAGTGAACTACCCAGAGGAAGGGAAGAAGAGAAGAGAAGGACTGGCTTGATCTACTCAAAAGCCGCGATGAGTGACGACGACCTGAACTGTACATATATGCATATTGCAACCGATAGTATACCCATACCATACATAACAAACTTTTCCATACCCTCATAAAAACCCATCACTAAAATTCGAATAAAATAACTCACAACTTCACCCCCTCCTTTTTCAACGGCGCCCAATTCCTCGCCACATACTCAACCGCAACCCTATACCCCTGCACGCCCAATCCCACAATAATCCCACTTGCCTTGTCACTGAAATAACTCTTGTGTCTCCACTCCTCCCGCGCATGCACGTTACTCACATGCAGCTCGATGAACGGGATCGCAACCCCCAGCAACGCATCCCGGATCGCGACGGATGTGTGTGTGTACGCGCCCGGGTTGATGATGATTGCGTCGACGGAGCCCCGCGCGGCGTGGATGCGGTCGACGATGGCGCCCTCGTGGTTCGATTGGAAGGAGTCAAATGTGCAGGAGAGAGAGGTGGCGAGGTCGGCGCATGACGATTCGACTTGGGAGAGCGTCGTGCTGCCGTAGATGTGGGGTTCGCGGGTGCCCAGGAGGTTGAGGTTGGGGCCGTTGATGAGGAGGATGGATTTGGGGGTGGGGGTTTGCAATTCCATTGTGGTGTTTGAGTTCTTTTGGGAGATGGAGGGAGGAGTATGTTGGTTCAAGTGTTGTAGTTGGTGGTAGAAGGAGGAAGTATGTGTAGAAGTGGTGGTAGTATGAGTATGGGGTTAATGAAGAGTGTAGGTTTAGGTTTAAGTATTCTACTTCATATGTATATCTATGGAGGTATCGGGGATGACTTTTACCTAGACTGCCTCCCTCTTACTCACTGAGTAATGCAATCAATCCCTTGGATTAGGTAGGGTTTGGCAGGTGTAATTGGGGTAAGGCTAAGGACTTGGCCGGGGCTGAGCGCTTTGCCGGGCTGGTGCCGACGTGCCGAGCGGGGTATGATGGTTTGTATTTGATGAAATGGTGGAGGTATAAGTATAGAGCTGTAGGCGAGATTACAGTGGTGGACGAGTCATGAATAGCTGGTTAGTTCTTACTGTTTCGTTCTTCGGTGTAGTTCTTGTTGTTGGTCTAGTGTTATCTGATGTCTAGCTGCATTGTAGCGGTTAGTATTGGTATACACGTATAGACTAGTCCCTACTAGGCTAGGGTTTTGTGTGTGAATACCATGTCTTCGATTCGCTCTCCTGGTTGAGTCCACGTGAGTGCACACACACACGTTGAGACTTCCGTCTTTTCCCATTCCCACTAAACATTTGCTGCGTCGGTCTGGCCAGTGCATCCCCGTGGGGAATTAGCTATTGTCATTGGCTCTTCTCCTGCGATCTTCGCTCCTGTCCCGTGACTCCCCTCCGATTGCGGAGGGAGCCAGTCAACAACAGTATAGACTCACGAAGTAGACACCAGATTGGCTCGCTACCTACTCCCTCACATTTGCCCCCCACAACCGGCCATGGCTCTCGTCTCCCTTCCCCTATCTGGTTCCCCAAGACTATGTTCTCTCCCCCCGTGGCGGAAAATTTGCAGTGTAGGTCAGTGCGCAACACGAGGCCTGTCCATGGCTCGTCTTGTCTCCCCGAGAAGTCAATCCACGCCCAATCCTATCCCATCCCATTCTATCTCCCCTGCACTCTAGAATCCTTCTGGTTTGATCCTGGTTTGCAACGAAGAGATTGTTTTGCCGCCCTTTGTTTTTACCCAACAATCGCTTGGGCGTAGTCTGATATCTGGGGTAATCCTTTGCCTCCTCCCCCAGTCTTTCTCCGCACCCCAGATTTCGATTGTCCGGGGATGGGCTATATAACCCTGACCGGTGACTCTCCCATCTTCTAAGTCTCCATCAGACTGTTGCATACCCAATCTCCCTCTATCAATATTGTAACTGCTACCCATCCATCATCTTCTCGTCCAGACAGACAGACATCATGTCTATCCTGTCGATGGTCGAGGACCGGCCCACGCCCAAGGAGGTCTACAACTGGCGTATCTACCTCCTGGCGGCCGTTGCCTCCTTCACCTCATGTATGATCGGCTACGACAGTGCTTTCATCGGCACGACTATCTCCCTCGACTCCTTCAAGAATGAGTTCCACTGGGACTCCATGTCCACCGCGAAACAGAACCTTGTCAGTGCCAACATCGTCTCCTGCTACCAGGCAGGCGCCTTCTTCGGCGCCTTCTTCGCCTATCCCATCGGCCACTTCTGGGGCCGTAAGTGGGGTCTCATGCTGTCAGCTCTGGTCTTCACTCTGGGGGCGGGCCTGATGCTGGGTGCCAACGGCGACCGCGGTCTGGGGTTGATCTACGGCGGTCGTGTGCTGGCTGGCCTGGGAGTCGGCGCTGGCTCCAACTTCACCCCCATCTACATCTCCGAACTGGCCCCGCCTGCCATTCGAGGCCGGCTGGTCGGTGTTTACGAGCTAGGATGGCAGGTGGGCGGTCTCGTGGGCTTCTGGATCAACGTAAGTCTCCCCTACAGCATATTTACAATCTACGATCATAGCTGACTCGAGCAGTACGGAGTGGAGCAAACCATGGCTCCCAGCCACAAGCAGTGGCTGATCCCCTTTGCCGTCCAGCTGATCCCAGCGGGCCTGCTGATCATCGGCATTCTCTTCGTCAAAGAGTCCCCTCGTTGGCTGTTCCTGCGTGGCCGCCGCGAGGAGGCCATCAAGAACCTCTGCTGGATCCGCCAGATCCCTGCCGACCATATCTACATGATCGAGGAGATCGGGGCCATCGACCAGACGCTGGAGCACCAGCGCTCCACGATCGGGCTCGGCTTCTGGAGGCCCCTCAAGGAGGCCTGGACGAACAAGCGCATCCTGTACCGGTTGTTCCTCGGTAGCATGCTCTTCTTCTGGCAGAACGGGTCCGGCATCAACGCCATCAACTACTACAGCCCGACCGTGTTCAAGAGCATTGGTCTGAAAGGCAACAGCTCCAGCCTTCTGACCACCGGCATCTTCGGCGTGGTCAAGACCGTAGTAACGATCGTCTGGCTGCTGTACCTCATCGACCACGTCGGCCGCCGGCTGCTGCTGCTGATCGGAGCCGCCGGCGGATCCATCTGCATGTGGATCGTGGGTGCATACATCAAAGTCGTGGACCCGACCCACAACCAGAGCGACCACCTCAACGGGGGCGGCGTCGCCGCCATCTTCTTCTTCTACCTGTGGACGGCATTCTACACGCCCTCCTGGAACGGTACACCCTGGGTCATCAACTCGGAGATGTTCGACCCCAACATCCGGTCTCTGGCCCAGGCGTGCGCCGCCGGGTCCAACTGGCTCTGGAACTTCCTCATCTCGCGCTTCACGCCGCAGATGTTCGCCAAGATGGACTATGGCGTGTACTTCTTCTTCGCCAGTCTGATGCTCTTGTCGATCCCCTTCGTGTTCTTCCTAGTCCCGGAGACCAAAGGTATCCCGCTGGAGAACATGGATCCGCTTTTCCAGACGCAGCCCGTGTGGCGCGCCCACGCAAAGGTGTTGGCGCAGATCCACGAGGACGAGGCGCGGTTCCGTCGTGACCTCGAGGAGTCAGGCTACACGAAGGGGAATGTTGAGCAGGTGGAGGATACCGACCGGAAGGAATGAGCGATTGCAGTACTGCCTGGATTGTTAGTTAGATGATAGCGACCGATAGAGGTCAACATGGATTTACTTATTTGAACTCGAAGATGTATACCAATGCCAATGCCAATATTCATTCAAAGTTAAACAAGAACAAACTCTCTGGGCATCAGCCACATCCAAGACCCAACCCAACTTAACTTTCAACCAGACCATATAACAGGAACAAGTCGAAGAAGTAAGTAGGGATGGATAAAGGTTAAATAAAACCTCCCACCCCTCTTTTGCCGCCCCGGGGCCATCCGCGGGTTAAAAGAAAAAGGGCGAGACACCACTCAACGTCGGCCCACCCGGCCCACAGACCACAGAAACCTGGCACTCAGTCTTTCCCGGGGATACATTACCCCCGGATAAACACAATCCGGGTAAAGCGCTTTGCCGCGGGCGGGCGGGCCAATTCCCCTTTCCCCCCTCATTCATTATTCTTGCTTTGGGGAACACCAATCAACCCTAAGTGGATGGTTAAAGTATGGTGCCTGTTCCTGTTCCTGTTTTGAGAGAGTTGAAGAAAAAAGTACGCTTTTTTGTTTTGTTTTGACAGATCACAAATTATTGCTTTCTATTTTTCTTTTTCCTGTGTGCCGTTACACAGCATTTACTTTAGACAGGAGATCGTCCGATAAGGTTTCGACAATCCACTAGTTGACGCGGCTTAATCACATTGCTTGATTAAGGTGTACTTTTTTCCCTCCCATTACCTACCTTATCTTGGACTGGGTTATTCTCTATAAAAGCATCACTTTCACCCCCTCTGTCACCACCACCACTCAATTCAAACCAAGAAAGGAATCTAAAAGAAAGAAAAAGAAATCAACCAAAATGCCCAACCGTCTCGGCATCGCCTCCATGTCCCTTGGACGCCCAGGCATCCACTCCCTCCCCTGGAAGCTCCACGAAGCCGCCCGCCACGGCTACAGCGGGATCGAGCTCTTCTTCGACGACCTGGACCACTACGCAACCACCCACTTCAATGGCAGCCACATCGCGGCTGCTCACGCCGTGCACGCTCTCTGCACGACCCTCAACCTCACCATCATCTGCCTGCAACCCTTCTCCTTCTACGAGGGGCTCGTCGACCGCAAGCAAACCGAGTATCTATTGACCGTGAAGCTGCCCACATGGTTCCAGCTCGCTCGCATCCTCGACACCGACATGATCCAGGTGCCCTCGAACTTCGCGCCCGCCCAGCAAACCACGGGTGACCGGGACGTGATCGTCGGCGACCTCCAGCGCCTCGCAGACATCGGCCTGGCACAGTCCCCACCCTTCCGCTTCGTATACGAAGCACTGGCCTGGGGCACGCGGGTGAACCTGTGGGACGAGGCGTACGAGATCGTCGAGGCCGTGGACCGTCCCAACTTCGGTATCTGTCTTGATACGTTTAACCTTGCGGGTCGGGTGTATGCGCACCCTGGTCGGCAGGACGGGAAGACGGTCAACGCGGAGGCGGATCTGGCTGCGTCGTTGAAGAAGTTGCGCGAGACGGTGGATGTCAAGAAGGTGTTCTACGTGCAGGTTGTGGATGGAGAGAGGCTGGAGAGGCCGTTGGATGAGACCCATCCGTTTCATGTGGAGGGGCAGCCGGTGCGGATGAACTGGAGTCGCAATGCGAGGTTGTTTGCGTTTGAGGAGGATCGCGGCGGGTATTTGCCCATTGAGGAGACCGCGAGGGCGTTCTTTGATACGGGGTTCGAGGGCTGGGTGTCGTTGGAGTTGTTTAGTCGCACGTTGGCGGAGAAGGGCACGGGGGTGGTCACGGAGCATGCGAGACGCGGGTTGGAGTCGTGGAAGGAGTTGTGTAGGAGGTTGGAGTTTAAGGGGGCGGAGCCGGGACTGGATTTTGTTCCTGGGGAGGTGAAGGTGCAGTCGGTTGCTGTGGGGAGTGGGAAGGGGGTGGAACAGGAGGAGATGGGGGTTGTGCAGCATCGGTTGTAGATGTGATGCTATGCTGCTAGTACTGGGCTAGTGCTGATACTGCTCGGTGAGTGTGTATATGTGCTCATGCATGGTTTGTATATATGATGTTACTATTTCGGGTTTGTTTGGGTTTGGCATGTTATGTTAGAGATACATTGGATAGACTATATTATGGATTTACGTGACAAATAACTTCACTTTATAGTCCTGTTGTAGAGTGTACTGTTAGTTCCAAATTAGTTGGTGGCAACAGCAGCTCATTTACTAGCGTATAAGTGAGCTTACTGTCAGGATCCCATCCTAGTGCGCTTTTATATGGGCAGCACGTGAATGATCTACGTGCACTGTGGAACACTCACAGATTGCTCACTGAGCACGCACCTGGGAACTCCAGTTGCACTGCGGCAACCCATGTGACTAGAGCAGGCCCTCTAAACCGTGCGCAACCAACGCTTATATAGATCTGTGGTACTGATACAAACCTACGAAATTTGAGGGCATCAACAAAACAAAACAAAGGCTTTTAGTCTTTTTCTAGGGTTTCTCGTCTCAGAATGTTTTTATTACTGATATTCTTTCTATTGCACTTGGATAAAACAATTAACAAACGAGTAGTGACACACTGACTCAGATCGGGCTGCTTGTCAAAGAAGGCCATCCTTAATATAATAAGGTCTGCTGCCTGTGTCATTGGCCAACCATCTTGCTATTTTCTGAAAAAAAGGGTCTATAAAGATGGCCTTGGTTACAATATACTGGCATAAAGATGTTTTGCTAACGCTCTCAGGCTGATTCTTCACGCCGGCTTTCCTGCCTTGGATTATGAAACTGGATTACCCTTAAATCTTTGCAAGAATGACCCAGTAATTACACACGCGAAATCAACAACAGCAGAATTCTCAACTTGTTTATTGCAAATATTTCTCAGCTTGTATATTCTTAGTTAAGCAATAACTAAATACAGCTCAACCCGAAAGGAAGCCCAATTGTTGGTCCATTACACCCCGCACCATCTCCTCCCACGGCCGCCATTGCATTCCTAGTTCAGCTTCGGCTTTGGTGGTATCAGTAGGCATAGAACCACCCTCAGCGCTCTCTGTAAGCTTCACACCAACATTGGGGTAGAACTTGTGTGCAATACGGGCCACCTCTTTCCATGTCGTTTGCGGCCCCGAGATCAGATATTTCGAACCGTTTTGAATCTTCGGATCCAACGACTTGATATGTGCCTCAGCAACATCTTGAATATGCACACCCGTGATGCCTCCAAGTGGGACGCCTCCCATCACACTACCCCAGATAATTCCATTGGATCCTAAAGTTTCATTGGCAGCAGCTTGCATGAGATTGTGCCCAAAGACAAATGCCGGATGAAGAGTCACCAGTGAGTAATGGGGGTTCTCTTTCTTCCAAAAGTCCCACGTAGCATTATTTGCAAGCAATTTGGATGCACGGTAGAGAGTCATGGGTGTTGCACCGGGATTGCTAGGATCCACGAAATCAGCCTCTGGGTCGACACCGAAATCCCAATCATTGTCCTCTAAAATCCGAGATCAGCATCTTGAGTCTCTTTGACGTATCAAGCATCCACGCTACCTTTTATGACACCGCCTTCAGGTATGCCGGTGATAGGAATCAGGGCAGCGATAGACGAAGTGATCACAATCTTCTTGATGCTTGGCACCTTGGTTGCTTCTTTGAGTACAGCCAAGGTCCCTTTCACCGCTGGGGGGAAGAAAGCTTCTTTGTCTGTGCCGTTGGCAAGCGGCGATGCAAGATGGAGGACATAGTCCACTCCATCCAGCTTTCCTCGGAAGGCAGCCTCCTCGGTGAGATCTGGGATGATGACGAATTCCACTCGGTCGCGATAGTCTGCCAACAATGATTCAAGTTTCTCTGACTTCTTGCGAACGCCAATTCGAAGTCGATATCCGGACTTGAGGGCTTCAACAGCGGTAGCACTGCCAATAAAGCCAGTAGCGCCAGTTATGAAAATCAACGGAGCAGGCATCGTGATGGTACTTTCAAAGTAATATTTTTTTATGATACAAGAGAACAGTTACCGGTTATGGGCATCTTTATACTCGGGGAGTTAATTGATTATCAATAGTGTACTTGTTATGGATACGAGAAAGTTCGAGATGATGATGTCGCGATCAGCTCGTATCGGGCCTGATGATTCAACATTGCCGACAATATCGGATCAGTAATCATAAAAAGAGGCGAAGCTGAATAATAAAAGGCCTCCTATACTACCCATCACGCGCTCCATGGTTGTAGTCCTGTAATTTGGAATCCTGCAGACGATAATCTATCGTACGAAAATTGGTAGGTTTGTCATCGATACAAGGTTGACCCATAGGCGAAGATTGCTCATCTATCGCTATTGATTACGGTTCGCGTCCGATCCGAGGTTAGAAAAATGTCACCAACGAATCTCGACAAAGTGTTGTATTAAATATGCTTCTATACACGCCAATGTGACTACTACTACTACTACTACTACTACTACTACTCATCATCTCATCTTCAATCATGTCTACTCAGAAGGCCGTCATCGTTACCGAACCTAAGACTGCAGGCTTGGTCAGCTCCCGTGCTATTCCCAAGCTCCGCGACGATTACGTCCTCGTGAAGACTGTCAGCGTGGGGTTGAACCCCACTGACTGGAAGCATACCGACTACCTGTCGCCGCCCGGTGTACTGCTAGGATGTGATTACTCTGGCGTTGTTGAGGCCGTTGGCAAGGACGTCAAGCTACCTTGGAAGAAGGGTGACCGTATCTGTGGTTCCACCCATGGTGGTAATGCCATCGAACCCGAGGATGGCTCTTTCGCCGAGTACATTGTTGTCAAGGGTGATGTGCAATTCCGAATCCCCGAACATTTGAGCTTCCAGGAAGCCGCCACGCTTGGAGTTGGTATCCAGACTGTGGGCCAGGCTCTGTATCAGACTTTGGGACTGGCTCCACCAACGCAACCTATCCAAAAGACGACTCCTATTCTTATATATGGCGGTTCTACGGCTACAGGTACCTTAGCCATCCAGTTCGCTAAGCTCTCCGGGTACCAGGTGTTCACCACCTGCTCGCCGCACAACTTCGATCTTGTCCGTGGGCTTGGTGCGGACTTTGTCTTCGATTATAACGACCCAGAGTCCGCCAGCCAAATTCGCAAGCAGACAAACAACAGCTTGACACTGGTCATGGACTGTATATCTCTTCCTTCTAGTGTTGATTTCAGCGACCAGGCGCTTTCAACAGAGGGTGGCGCGCACCTTTCACTCTTGCCTGGAAAAATTGACCGTGGCAACGTCAACAATCACTCCATCCTGGTCTACACCACCCTTGGCGAGGCCTTCAACTTCGGTGACATGTCTCTTCCCGCTAAGCCAGAGGATTTCGAGCACGCCAAGAAGTTCACTCAGGTGGCTCAGACGCTTTTGGATCAGGGCAAGATCAAAGTTCATCCGCCCAAGGTTGGAAAGGATGGTCTAAGTGGTGTCTTGGGAGGACTAGAGTTGCTCAGGACCGGCAAAGTCAGTGGCGCAAAACTAGTCTACAACACTGGGGAGACTCCTTAGTCACACATGTCAACATATCTTCCGCATTTAGTCAAACATGAATCAATCCCAGCTCAGGGGAATCGAACTTGTTAGCCCATTTTTGACTTTTCTCGATAGTTGGGATTTTGAGATATACTACTTTCCTGTAACTTTGTCTGATTAGCAGAAGGACATTCTGTGCCAACATTCCTATCAGCACCGTACGGTGGGCGGTGTGGCGGAAAGAAAGTCTATACGAGCTACAACCCTCCTGGTTCGCTTCTGCTCTGCTCCGTTGACTGGTGAAATCTGTCCTCATTTTGATCTTCTCTTCCGAGCCGTAAAGTCAATATCCATTTGGTGTAAATTTCTGTTTGATTCTAATTTGTAAGCATGTAGGTTTGGAAGGGAAGGTGGCGTGTCATCAACCAGATCTAACTTAATGATTAGTGATCGTGCCGAGGCGACATCCAATTACTTGATCGAATCGATTAGGAAACGCTTGTAGGATTCTATTACGATCGCGTACTCAGTCCATTGAGTAATGACTTCTTTGGCTTCATTTCTGACGATATTTCGCCTGTCATGGAACAACAAACACAGAATGACCTGCCTTTCTTTAACTGGGATGATTTCTCGCCATTACCGGGGTCCGTGACCTCTGATATAACCTCATTGCTCTCAACCCGCTCCTATCCCCTGCTCAAATCATCTAACTCACAAAATGCTCAAAGTAATACGTCATCATCGAGTCCTGGCGACTTCACCCCTGAGTTCGCATCTTACTTCAACCAGACGAGCTCAAAGCAAGCACCCCTCTCTGAACCGACCACCACGCGACCACAAAAACGTCAGCGAAATGGATACAAGACGATCGCGCAAGCGAATGACCGCGGAGCGCGTCGAGAATTGGGTGACAGCAAGATAAATTCTGAAGAGGTTCGTAGGCTATTCAACCAACACTTCACTTAAGGTTGTTAGCATTTCTAACCCGAACCACTGGTGTGCCAGCGTCGTCGCCTGCAACTTCGCGTAGCACAACGTGCATATCGTTCACGACAGCAAGCCACACTCGACGGCCTTAAAAACCACATATCGACCTTGGAGACATCGATTGAGAGAATGAGTTCTGCTATGCTATCCTTTAGTGAGAAGCTGGTTCAGAGTGGGCTGCTTAGGTTAAACTCTGCTCTGACAGCAGAGTTACGTGACACCATGACGGTATTCCTTAATGTAGCTTCCGAAGCAAACCTCGACGACGAGAAAAGTGTCTCAGTCGACTATAATAAGACAATTGACTCTCCACCAGCCTCATATCAACCCACAATCGAGCACCCATCACCTAACATCCCTCTCCACCTGCCCGTGGATGTTACTGGATTATACACACCTACCAGTGCTAACCTGCCATACACCGTCAACGATCCACCGGGAACTTCGATCATAGGGATATCCGAGTTCATGGAAAGGCTCCTTCTAGCAGCTTCTCACCAGGGGTACCTCGCTCTATGCAATCCCTCTATCAGTTTGAATCAACTCCAAAGGCCCTTTGGATTCATCTTTAGTATGATGAACCGCGAACGCCTAACATCTTTTTTCAAAGCGGAGTTACATGCTCAACTAAGCCAAAAACCGCTGGACGGATGGGAGGGAATTCCCTTTTTCAGGTTGGGGGGTGCGGGAACCCATTATCCCGACCAGAGAAGCTCCGGTTCTTTTGTCCCTCGTCACCATCGATGGGACACCGTGGAGGACCCTTTATCACTTGTCACGGCCAATTTACGAACGCAACTAGAAGGAGATTGGTTTGACTTACAGGACCTGGAGGGTTACATTCGAGAGAAGAATGTGCTCCTACTTACCTCAGCTGGTAAGCCAACAAAATGCTCAAATGTGCAGACCAATATCAATGTCACAAGTTTTATAACGAGTAAGTCCGCCCTTGGTTCGTAATGATTAACCTGACCTTGATAGGATTGGTCAGAAGAGGAGTATGCTTGGGTCGGACACCTGGGTTTCAACGCGATGATGTGGAGGAGGCCCTGCGTTCTTCCATAATTGTGTGAACTTCGATAAACTGACCGATATATAAATTCCCGGAGTGTCTATCTGTTAGATTCCTGGAAGATCAGCACACGCCATGAAATCAGGCCAGATTCATACTCCTGGCCGGCTACGTCGTAAACGCCCGAATAGGCAATTTGTATAGGATTATTATCGTTGCATATGTCGTGTCAAGTAGAGCTTCACCTGGCGGGCGCCTCGAGCACTCACAGTTTTGGGATATCAGTGATCACCGATGCAGAATGAGTACCGCTGGGTTGTAACCTAATGGCGGGTGCCCCGAAAGCACCGGCTAGCTAGCATCCAGGTCTATTTGTGAGACCTTGGCCTCCAATGCCTTATTATGTGACTCCTATATAGCAGCTACATGATCTATCTATCTTCTGAACTGAAGACAGCAGTAGCCATAGATATATTAAGAAAAATAGAAGCTACTGATAACTTGGAAGGTTATTTAACGGGAGCTTATAAATTGTTTATTTATTATATTTCCTACTTTAATACTTATTTAAATATTTTAGATCCTACTTTTCTTTGTACAAGGCTGGCTGCATAAAGATTCTATCACAAGAGATCTAACTTAGTATTCTATCTAATATTACTCATGATAAACATATCCTATCCAACTCGAAGCTTCAACTCTATGAATATAATAAATTGGACATGTGTTCACACAAATATGGGATTCAACCCACAGCAACAAACGAAGCACAGTACCATCCATCACCGTCGGGATTCCAACCCCTCCCCATCCCCCATGACCAACACCTGACTCGTGACAAAATACTCCAACCCGTTGCGCTTCATCTGCCCAATCCACTTGAGTAGTGGGATCGTCGGCAGCGGGGTGTCTCCCCTCTCCTGCTCCATGAACCGCTCCATCTCCCCAATGTCGATCCGCACGGGACACTCATGGTGTACGAAGCGAGGGGCCACGCTCTTGTCCGCAGCAGGTTCCTGGATCAAAGCACTAGCCAGAGAGTCCGCTGCGCGATGCACGGGAATCATCTCGAAATGACCCTTCGTGCCGCTAAAGTCTGGTTTCAGGGCGAGGGAGTCGATGAAGGTGAGGAAGTGCTGCAGGGCGGGGATAGTAGATTCTTCTGGAGATGATCGAGCGGGAACGAAGCGGTGGATGGTGGTTGGGATATGCAGCTGGGTTGTGGCGGCGTGGAGCAGTTGTTCGCAGACCCAGCGGCTGGCGATGTATCCCTGGGATCCGTCGCTCGGGGGCGGATGGGCGGCGACGGACTGCGCGACCACACTGTCTGTCCCTGCTGCGTTGGCGGGGAGGACGCCCGCCGTAGAGATATAGTGAATCGGGATCTGGCGCGGAGCAGCGAGTTTGACGAGTTCCCGGGCGGGGAGGACGTTACTCGCACGTA